AATATATATCCAATTTTATATTTTTCTTCTTCAATTTCTTTCAATTAGCTTTCTTCAATTTGACTTTTTCTTCAATTTTTGCTTTCATTTCGAGTTTCTAATTCTATTCAACCTTACATTTTTTTCTTCATTCTTCTTTTACTCTTAATTTTAACTCAGCTATTCGAATCCTGTAATTTCTATATTCACTTAATTTTTTTATTTAAAATCTGCTTAACAAATCCAATTCTAATCAATTTTGATTTAACTACATATATTTTTTCTTAAGTTCTAAGTAAATGACAGGATTCGATCCAAAGATCCCTGGCTATTGTATCGAACACGTTATTAAATGAGCTATGATCGCCACTTGTCAAGACTTTCCCTTGTTTAATGTTATTGCATATTATATTTTATAATTTGAATAATTGAATTTTATTTTTGTTTATTTATCTCATCCAAGGCAGAAATTTCTCGACAATAATATTTGTCTCATATATTCGTGCAGCTTTAAACGATGATATCAACTCAAATGTATGTAGCAACTTTTATAAGTATTGTAATATTATGTTGGCTAATTAAATTTATATACATATCTTTGTGATAATATAAAATTTTAATTGATATCCATAAGAATGTCCAAGTAATTTCATGTCATTGCTCAATACGCATTCGAGTAAATTTTACTGTTTACTTGGCTTGGGTATGCACGCTGTGAATCTTTTTACAAATCTGCAAAACATTAACTGAAGGAGCAAGATAGCGACTTAATGGGCTTAGGATTAATTTATTGATTCTATAACATAGATATTTGCTTATTAAGGAATTTGTTTGAAGTTTTTATAACTTCGTAGAATGATACCCGATATAATATACAGAGATTCTAAAGTATGAAAGGAATTTTTATGTCCGCCGTTTTTGTCTGTCTTTTACATTCTTTGCTATATTAAATTTACTAAAATGAAAATGAAAGATGTAAATTAAATTTATTCTATATCGTGAAAAACAGAATGAATCCAAATTTTTTTGATATATTTCGAAATAAGACTATTTTTATTTAATATTTAAACATGTCAGTATTTTTTTACTTCATTTTTCAATCGAAGCTGAAACTTTTGACTTCCCTCTCATAGTCATGATTCATTTGTATTGCTACTAGTGATTTATTTTTGAACTTCAAGTAGTGTGTGAAATAATTATTTTAAGAATATATATTAATCTGAAATAGTGCAAAATGATTTAGCGTTTTACTCTTGTATAGTTATAAGGTTGTATAAATCAAGTTACAATGGTAATTTTTTATAATCATTCTATATACATGATAAAATTGACCTTGATTTTTTCACGCAATTGGTCTCAAAATAATGTTTTTTTTTCAATTTAAATCTATCGTATATATCCGATATTTTTATAGAAGATACTTGAATAAATGACAAGATTATTATTATATAAATAAATAAAATATAATAATACTTTTTACCATAATATGTATCGATATGATCGGAATATTTAAATATTATATTTTTATTTATTAATTATTTTGTCAATCATGACTTATGAAGTCTTATAACAAAAAATTTTGAGAGGTAACTAATAAATAACTAAATAAAGTACTTATAATATGAAAAAATACCAAAAAAAATAAAAAAACTGAAGGTAAATAATAAATTTCAGTAAGAAATAAAAGTAATATTATAGATGGGTGTAATGATAGTGCAATATTAATAATAAACTAATCAAAATAAATAAATTTCGTAAAGATAAAAAATATGCAAATATAATAGGTGAGCCAATAGCAAACATTTCAATATTTAAAAAACTAATGGTATAGTTTGGATAGTAGTGCTCTTCGAAGAAAAAGAATTTCAGAAAAAATTCTAAATATAATTTTAATGAAAATTATTCGTTTGTTTTTCACTTTTTTCTAAAACATAAAAGGCAATGTTTGAAAATTCAGAATAAGACTATTTTCTTTCGTTGTTGTTTGATTTGGTTGTGAGCACTCTTGTTTATTTTACGAGACCTTAATAAAATTTTTAAGTATACGTTATTTAATTGTTTTATGAGATGTATTGTTAATTTTAAGTTATTTTCAAAAGTTTTTTCCCCCAAAGCTTCTATAAAAGCTTAAACATGGATGGGGTAAAAAAGACCAACGGAAACTTTACCCTGACAAAGGTGTAAACAATAAAAAATCGCAAATAAAAAAGTAAATTAAGTTAAAGAAAAAGGAATTTTACAAGAAATAAATTAGATAAATAGTTATTCCAACTCTGCTGATGAATATTTCTAACGAAATACCAGAACACTGTTATATACAGTGTTATATCTGTAAAAAGTGCAAGAAATTTATTGGTTAAATAATGTAGCAACTACTTCGTAAAATTTCTTTAAAATTAATATTAAGACATCGGACCTGTTTGTCACATTTTACCCCGCTTATGGGGTAAAAAGGACCGGTTATAAATTTTTGAAAAAACAGCAAAAAACATCTACAATGATGAATTGCCTAGAAGTACAAATATGTATTAGTTGAGAGTTTTACTGAACATAGTCAGACAGTTGTTTGATATGTGTTATATGTTATGATATAATTGGTTTGGTTTTCACAATATAATTGCTCAAATTCAAAATGGACCTTTGACCTACCCTACTCTATATATTTATTCGAAACCGAATTATAAAAACTTGGTAATGTAAATTATTAATTCCAATGCAAATATAAGTGTGGCATAACATTAATATTAATAATGTCATTTTGCTCAGGTAGTGTATTTTTATTTTAACTTAGAAACTACTTATAATTTATCATTCATCATTTTAATCTGACATGATCGTATATTCTCGGCGTGAAAATAACAACTAATAAGAGAGAGCTTGAGCTTGAGCTTTTTTTTTTATTAAGGATCGAATAATAGCTGAAGTTATTAATGCTTCTAATATAACTATTTAGATGACTAGTAGATATTGTAGATAAATGTAAATTTATATCTGCATAAATTATCCTTATTTGTTAAAAATGAATGATTTTTAAATGTTCGTAGTTGTTGATGTTCCAATAAAATGAACCTTACCTTTTTACATGTTTATTTTTTCTACAAATATCGCTTCAAATTGGTTGAAATTGATTTTCTAATTTCTAATTTTCGTATCGTTTTAAAAGAACGCTTTTTTTTCCAGTGTTCAATTATATCTAGCTATTAAATTATATTCTACTTACATCAGATCTACATCTATAAGTTTTCCTTGTTTATTTTCTAATATGAATCACAAATATTTTACGGCGTTGACGCTAAACATATTACAGCAACTCGAGTAACTGTTAAATTAACGAGAAGAATATAAAATATAAAAAAAACTTGCGCCGTCATGCCAGACCATAATATGTAATTCTGTTGTTAAAGATATAAAATGAACGTTACACAGAAGAGCATCAACTGTATCCTATATTATTAAAACATAATTGTATGATACATGAAATCATAAAACATTACGTATTATTTGGGACAAAGATCTTACGCATGTAAAGTGAATACTCAAAAATATAATAGTTTGTTTCACAATTGGAAGCTTTGGAATTAGTAGATATAGTTATAGATAAAGTGCATTTTGTCCGATTACTTCGGAAAAGGCAATCTTTTTTTTTTTAATTTATAGCAATCTTTTTTTTTAAATGTAGGGCGGGGCACAAACGTCCAATTTGATTTTGAGCCATACTATTTTGAAAACCAAACCAATGATATCACAAAGAATAACACACATCAAACAAACAACTATTTGACTATATTCAGTAAAACTTCCAGCTAATTCAATATTGTAGAAATGTGTTCTTTGGCTGTTTTTCCAAAATTTGTCACCTGTTTTTTTTTACCTCATGAGCGGAGTAAAATGGGATGGTTAGAGGGCAAACAGATTCAATGTCTTCTTTTAATTTCAAACAGATTTTGCAAAATAATAGCTACATTATTCAACCAATGCAAAGTATAAATTTCATTGGTACATTTTTTACAGAAATAACACTATATATAACCTTGATCTGGTAATTTGTCAGAAATATTCACCAGCAAAGTTGGAATAAGTATTTATTTAACTTTTATCTTTTAAAATTGCTTTTTTTAACTCAATGTACTTTAATTGCTATTTTTGATTCTTTACACCACTGGTAGTTTAAAGGTTTAGTTGGTTCTTTTTAACCCACCCACGTGTTCATAGAGGTTATATAAAAAAAACTATTGAATCTAGCTTAAAATTAACAATTCATCTTATAAAACAACTAACTAACATATACTTAAAATTTTATAGAGACTTCGTAAACTAAACAACAGTGCTCACGACCAAAAAAATTACTTGAATGAAATTACTTTTGTCATGGATTTTCAAATATTGTCTTTTATCTCCTGAAAGCAACGTAGCAAGATTGGGGCTGGTTGTACATCTGTTTCCATCTACTTTCAAATATTGTTGATAAAAAATTATTTACTTTACTTGTTTTTGAGATATCGGTGGTAGATTTTTTTATTCGCGGACCTTTAAGCCCCTACTTCAAATCATAAAATATTTTATTAGGTATTTTTTTTAGGAAAAATATAATTCTAAAGTTAATAGCAATGTATTTTAAAAGCTCATAGCAGAATCTTTAAAAACTTCTAGCCAATCGCATATAGAGATTTAAATTTATTTAAACTAATATAATTTAACATAATTATGAAGATGACCGATTAAGTATGCAAAGTACAAATATTACATTTATATTATATAAAAGCTTTATGTAAACGTACACGCGTGGAATAAAACAATAATTTTAAAAATATAAATGTTGCTGTTATAACAAGTTGGCATGATACTTTCTTTTACTCTACAAACACCAACACCAAATACATTTGCTTGTATCATTATTTTTTATGTTTCAAATGAAACCATTTTGAGTATTTACATGAATAGTTTTAAAAATATTCTTAAATTTTAATATATACTTGATTTTGATAAATACTAAATTATTAATGTATATTTTTTATTTGCAGGAATCCAAGACAGTGGCTTTTCAACTGACGCAGCGTCAACGTCCAGTAAAGAATCTAGCAGCACGACCCCATCCGCCACACACAGCACTGGAGTCGTGCACGGACCAGGACCTGGACAAGGTGCCAATGTTGCCCTCGACGAACTATGGTCGCTTTTAGACGTTATTCATAGAAAAGGTAGGCGATTAATTTTAAAGATACATTTATAATTTTAAGGATTTTGAACATACATTTATAGTTTGAAAAGAATATCCGTTAGCCAAACATCAATCTTACGCGTTTCTGTCTAGAACTTTCAAGAGTGTATATGAGAAGGAAGGTTTATGCTTTTTTCAATATAACAATATTATTTCTTTTCGTTTTCTGATATTAATTGAAATATAAATATGTATTTATGATCATTTAGTTTAAAGGAACTAGATATAAATGGATTTTTCCTTAAGACAAGTTGCATAAACTCCCCGTTTATAAAATCTATACAATCAATATGAAATCAGACTCAGCATTTTCTAAAACTGTGACGATAGAATTTTGAAATTTCGACACTCTCTAATATTCCAAACATTAGTGATCTTTTATAATTAAACAAGTTTCCGTAAGTCTGTACTGTTTCAGAATTTCGTAGGGACTATGAACCTTATCATTATATAAATTTTCGTGAAAATCGTCAAATTTTTTTATTCAACTATCTATTACAAAGAAACAGTTCGGCTGATATTTACCAAGAAACTAATCAACACGATTCCAAACTGATGTCTTTCGAACAGTTTCGGAATTTTTATCGGTTCAGGATTTTGGGCCAATACATGTGCAATAAATTTTGATTTTTTTTAACTAATTCTAAAGAAACGGCTCGGCCAATCGTCACGCATAATTAATCAACACGAATCCTTACAGAGTTACATCAAACGGCTTACAAAATGTTTATATTGGTGCAATCATTTTTGAGGAAATATCAACGAAAAGTTAAATGTTGACTCATAATATTTTTTCAATTTTGGTGTAAAAAAATCTAAAAAAGACTACTGCAAGAAAACATAAAATTGGCAAGTCAGATTTTCTCACGTAAATATAACCTTCTCTTTTAGAAAGTTAACAATAAATAAATAATATAATAACTAAATATCTTTATCAATTGTAAGGGCATTACAAAATCAAATGGTTTTTATTTGCCTTTTTATGAAATAAATAATTGACATTTTCATATCTATGAATTTTATAAATAACTTTATATAACTGAACTTTTTCAATAATTCGATAATTTATTATAACATTACTTGAAATAAGTAAATATATTTTTTCTGTAAGTTTGCTAACTAATGAAGGTATATTTATTAACAGCTAGGTATCAATAACGTCTTTCTTAACACGTTAATCGCCACGATAATATCTCCAAAATTTTCACATGGGCCAAGGCGACTTTATTAGATAATTTATTAGCTTTATAACTTTATTAAAATCAAGGAACTTAATTAATGCATCAAAGAAAAAAAAATGACAAAACTCCTGGAAAAACACTATTTTTGACGTCACACATATATGATAGATATGGCTCTCTATTAACGGTTATTTTGATGTAAATTTAACTACAATTTAATAAATTTTACAATTCTATATGAATTTTTGCGACAATATCGATTTTTATTTTGACCAACCTTGCTGATGCGATGTATTGAAACTTCCTGTTCTGCCTAATGTTCTTAATTTGCGGTTCGGTTTAACCAGAGCTAAATATTCAAAAATCGTAATAAGAAAGGAATTTAAATTACTATTTTGTAATCAATCCGAGCAATGAAAATTTCTTGTCCTTGGATCAAAACACGAGTAAAACTATGTTACTCCCTCTGCTTTATATGTCACGCTCGGCTAAATATCAGCTTTTGAATTGTAACGCTCGTTCATTCCACATTCGGAAGTCGTAACAGGTGTGAAAAATAAAAATCATTCTTTTTTTCTGTGTTTAGTGATAAAGATTCAATAAAAATTAATGTCCGGACCAAATTTACATGTATGGGATCGTCGTGCACGGTACGTGATTTTAATCAACTCAAATCTTCGAGTCGGATTAAATGCTAGCCTAATTATTTTTACCACTTCTAAATATTTGCATAGTACTATTTACTTATGATATGATTTTATATAAAAAAGTGTTAAAGTTTATAAGTGCACATCAATTTGTTTTGACAAAATATTAGAAATAATTTTTGAAGTATCACTGTATCAGTTTCAGTGGATAGTAGACCTCAGGTTGGACTATGAAATTGAATCATTTAATACTTATTGAAATAGGCTTATATGAAGATGTGATGTGAAGTAAGATTATATAATAGCAACAAATATATATTATTTGCTATATTTTTAAGATTTACCAAAATCACCAGAAATTGATTCATTATATAACAGATACTACTTTTTGCTACTTTTTAAAATGTGTAACACAAAACTTAGACTAAATATTATGTGGTATTGGAAATATTATATTACATGGTATGTTCATTATTATTATGGAGATCTTTATATTCTATTGTAATTCTAAACTGTGAATTTGAAAATCTATACACTGTTTATTGTAATCTATTTAAATAGAAACTAGTCGATAACCAATGCAATCGTATAAGAAGAAATCATACAAAGACCTTTAGATTTAACAAACATGAACATATAGAACGCATATAAAATTTAGTTCAATTATTAACTTCGTTCCGGAGTTTGTTGTTAAGCACAATGAATAGTGCGACCGTTGGGAGAAAAATTACTAAAAGTTGTGTACAATGTTAGAATTCGTGTGATGATATTTTTGCTTGGTAATATTTAATAATTTAATTGTTGCTAGAAATATTATTTTAAACCGGAATAAACCAGTAACTATCTTGAAAAAAAGATTAAGCCCTAACAAGAAGTGGGATGCACACATTAATTTGCCGAAATTCATGACTAGTTTATCGAATTTTGGCATTTAGGTGTAGGTGTAAATCTCATGATAAATGTTTAAAATAGGTTAACGAAATAATAAATAATATTTTGAAACAAATTACCAATTTTAGCAGTGGTTGCGTTTTCTAATTCATTGTAAAACATTCGTTATTTAGTTGATAACTAATTCTGCCGTAAAATAAATAGACCAATATTATGGCAAGGCTATGTTATGTAGCAGTTTTCATATAAAGTGGTACTAAAAACTGTCAAAATCTTATGTGGTTTGCCGTGCAGTTAGGCATTTTAGATAGATGATCTAACCTAGAAAAGGCACAAACATTAAAGAATCTTATCTGCTTCTTTCTGATGTGTTATAATGTGTTTTGACAGTTTCTAGTATCATTTTATATAAAAAACGCAGTGTAACACAGCTTTGCCATAATATTGGTAAATTTTACGGCAGATTGGCCCATAAGTTTATGCAAGGATAAATTATGATGGGTATCAATTGATAGACAAATTTTTTGGCAAACACCATACAAAATATTTCAAACTATTATATTACTAGGTATGATAAATAAGTGTATTTAAGAATCTCATTCAACTTTTACATTTTATATTAATAACTACTCTGGTTTGCGGATTATAATCAATTTTATTATTAATTCCAATATATATTGTTTGTTTGGGCTCCTGTATTTTGAGGGTTACCATTAATTTCAAGCGCTTGGTTTTCTACTGCGATCGTCCAGCCATGACGATTTGTAATTCTGTAATGGTCGGACACAGTTTCACAATTTTTTATGCGTATGTATTTCTAGGTATGTCTAATATTGCAAATACAATCTAGAAACCTCGAATGCAGAGTGTAGATTTTTTGTTTCCTTTCATTATCATTTGCAATTAACATTATTTCTTATAATTTATATCATGCTCTTGACAATATCTAGTATTATAAGCCATCAGAAGATGAGATGATAATTGATTGTAAATTAAATTATATTTATTCCTAGTAATTGTTACTGTAACACTCTACGTTGTTTTCCAAGTTCAGTTTTAAATTTTTGAATTCTGATATTTTTTTATCTCCAGGTTTAAGAAAACATTTATTTAAATACCATTTTGGCAGTGAGTTTTTATAGTTCATTATTCCTATTTATTGTTGCACATAATTTATTTATATTTAATATTATTTTCCCCTCAGGCACACGTCTACGGGACGAAGCCCAGCAATTGCAGCAGCAGCAGGCGTCTTCCTGGACGCCAGGTGACCAGCTTCCTATACAGGCGAACAACGAACAGAATGGCCTCCATTTACTAAATGGCGGCGCTGAAGCATCTCGTCTTCGTATCGCATTGGACGAAGCTCTGAGACAAAGGGACGCACTTGATCAAGAATTACGCAAATTAAGACTATCTTCCAATGAAGATCAATATGAAAAAGACAGACAAGAAGATGAGAAGAAACTGGAAGAAGAGATTTCGTCCAGAATTTTAGATGACGCTTTAGGGCCATTGCAACTTCCACTGAAGGTTGAACCACCTGATAGGAACTGGGTTAAGGCTGTGTTGTTGGAAAATAGTGCACTGAGCTTGAAAAGACATTTATTGAATGCTTTAGCGAATAATAAGGTAAGAAGAAATATCATCTCATCAGAATCATACTATCGTAAGCTTTTCTAGATTTATGTCGAAGGGGCAGCTATAATTGAATAGCGCCCTATTTTTTTTTAATTGACTGTATCAGATTTTTTAAGAGTAGCTATAATTAAAATCACGTCATTGAAATGAATTAAATTTGGCATATGAAACCAATTTTTTGACACCATTATACATTTCTTTCCTGTAATATTTTAAAATACTTCGGAATTGGATTCGATGGATTTAACGTTTATTTAGCTGCTTAATGAATTTAATTTCGTTTTGAAACAAATAATGACTGACCTCAATGCAAAGATTACTTCAATTTTTCAATTGACTACTTGATTGAAATTGTTCGTATCTTCAATGAGCAATTATTTTATGCAAGAATAAAATCTATATAACATCATTTGATGTTGTCGTTATTACTCAATGTATTACAATATTTTTGCTGGGTGGTGAAATAATCTAATATTAACTGTGTACAATTTAAATTGAAAATGTTGTCTTGAACTATAAATACAAAATGCAGAATTATTTATTAAGAGGTTATTCTTTCTTTCATTGTCTACCATAGTTTTAGTAATTTAAATTATATAAAAATAACAGTATTCTATTAAAAATAATCTTACAGATTTTGTATTGTAATATCTATACATTATCATTTTTGAAGCATTTTATATTAATTTCATAGAATGAATAATACAAATGTTGTTTTTTATTATAGACATTACTGCACCGCTTGGAAATCTCAGACAGAGCAAGACGAGTGCTTGAAGATACTATTGCTAAGTACAGAGAAGAGGTTGATGATGTACATTTTCAGGTAAGTCATACAATAATTTCCTATTAATTCATACTACTTTAGATATGTCATAATAAATAAATGTGAATCAGTAATATTATGTGCATGAGTAAGCATAGATAAACTATGTGCTTACTAAGTGTATGTTAATGAAATAATAATCTGTGAAACCAAGGTAAAAGGTAGAACATTTCTTTGAAGTGTGAAGTGCCGAACCACGTTTTTCTCAGTTATAGGAATCATTTTTTATTCTGATATGCATTTGAATCACAATTAAGAAATATACAAAATTTATTTGCGTTCTGACTTGATACTTATGCAGTATTGATCCAAACTTAATTAAAAGTGATTAAAATTGTGTGTGAGTCTAGATCCTTAATAAGCATTAAGACTAGGCCTTTAACAACCACTTTTTGTAGGTCTGTAATAATTCACGATTGTCCGTTAAGAGTCTAAATCTAATAATAAGACCGTGAACTTAATAACTACTTTTCGCATATCTGTATTATTGCAGGATGCTCGTTAAGGCCATGAACTTTATCATCATACATACAAAGTTCCATGAAAATCGTCAAATTTTCAAAATCAGTTTAGGATTTTGGACAAATACGTGGATAATAAATTTTGGGATTTTCTACTATTGCTAAAGAAACGACCCATCGTCTTCATAACTAATCAATGCGAGTGCTTATAAAGTTTCATCCAATGGCTTTTAAATCTTAGGGAAACAGTGACGAAAATTTTTATATTGGAAATTAGCAATATACGGCTACAGGATTCTGTTTTATTATTTAGTGTCTTTAATAATAAATTCTTTTAACTGCTTATACTCACAATCAGTGTTAGTAACTTTATTTATAATTAAACCGCTCTTCGTGGACATATAATATTTTAAACTGTTTGGCTTGACTTTCAACCTTATCGCCATGCAAAGTTTTATCAAAATCCCAGAAGAGTATACCTAAGGTTCTCCTTGTCAGTATCAGTAATTAGAATTTCTTTTAAGTATTGATTGTTTTTAGTATTATTAATTAATATTTTTGTAAACATTATTGTGAATTTTAGCTGGAGGAAAAGAATATCGAACTTGAAGGAACGCGCGCACGGATTCGCATTTTAGAGAACAAAACTATAAACCGCTACAGTAGTTCTACCAACGTAGTCTTGCATGGAAAGGATATCACACACAACGATGGATTCAAGCCTATTTCAAATTCCAATCAAGGGCAGTTGATTGTAGTCAAGACACCAGCATCACCATACAGCAGTAGCACCGAATCGGCTCACGACGTGGATACAAATCACAACGGTTTCAATTCTACAAGTCCTAAACATAGGCCAAGTAGAATACCTCTACCTGGTCATTCCAGGACTGCTTCAACGACTCCGTCCAAGCTGAATGTTTCTCCAAATAGATCACTTAGCAGAGACTCCTGTAGAAGTGCCTCCAGCATTCCAATAGCCAAAACACCTCATACCACTATGAGGAACTTGAGCTCTCCAGTGCCTAGATTGAAAAGAGATTCCTTGACGGGGAGAATAAGGAATCATGATTCTTTATCTAGAGTGCGAGAAAAAAACTTAATTTCTAGCAACAAGAATGTTTCGACTTTGCACAAGAATGCAGGTTCCAATACGCATTTGGTTAGCGACAAGGTTAGGCAGCAGAAGATGCCCTTTTGGTCAAACTGGTTTAAAATGTTGGATAGCGGTGGGCAATGAGAATTTTTGAAGGGTGGTAAAAAATCTTGCCTTTTACATAATAGACTTGATAGAATTATTATTGTATTATTTATTTCTATTAATATTTGATATCTATATTTAGATCAATGAATGCTACATATATTTTCGGAGCGGTTTTTATCTAACTAATAATATTATTAAGAGGAACTATTGTAATTTTGCAAAAGTTTCCCAATAAATAAAAAAACAAAAGTATTGCAAACAAAAAATCAGTTTCAATAGCGTTATTAATCATAATTATTTGAAACATCAAGTTTTAATACTGCAAACAAACCATTATTTTATTTCATTTATCTGAGGATAAATTTGTTTGAAGATTTAAAAGACTGTTGGTTTGTTCATATGCATTTAATTATTTGGTACAGAAATATATTTTTTTCATCAATTTATCGAATGGTTAAAATTGAATAATGATTAAAAATGAGCAGCTCCTACTAAACTTATGATTAATTAATGTAGTTTCAAAAGACACAAACTATTGTTTGATAATTTGCATTCAAAATGTTTTCCTATAATCAAAAATTCATATATCTAAAGTATTGTAGAACTAGCAACAAAATGTTGAATTTGCTAAATAGACTAGTGATTTTTATAGATATTTTTAATGATCATCTGATCTAATAATACTTTAAATACGAATACTTAATTTGAAAAGCTGATTCTGGCCAACCGACTGTTTTGTAAATATGAATTTATTTAAAATATTAACCTATTAATCAATAACAGGTAATTATTTTAAGTGTGATGGACTAATGTATTTAATTTTACATTAAATATATATAGATTTGGGCACATAATTTCAAACTTGGTTTGATCTGTAAATTGTATGTCAGTATGTGATTATGAAAATATAATGTAGGGAGATTATTTGATGAATATCAATTAAATGCATGTTTAACTTATGGATCTGAATTTAAAAAATATATATTTATATTTAAAGACATATTTTTAATATAACAAGAAAAATATCATTCGCTTTATTTGATATTTTGTATTTCTGTAAATATATTTTAATTAAAATTTTATTGTAGATTATTAAATACTGGTTTACTATTATGAGTCAATATATTTATAATATAAAGTAAAATAATCTTTTAGATGATTATTTATTTTTATTTATTCAATAATAGAAGATTATCTTAGAGGTAATCTTACTTATGTATCAACCGCATATAAAGAATTTTTGGCTCTTCAGTAAAATAAAAAGAATCAATTCAGAATAAAAAAATGTATTTGTTGTTGAAAAATTTGCAGTTAGAAGTTGAAAAAGACCAAAACATCTTTGTATGTGTTGACCTTATATAAACATACATATAAAATTATTAGAACTGGGCAGGACCATTATAGCAATTATTATGCAAATTGTAAATTAATTATCTTGCAATTCAAACAATTAACATATTTGACATACATAAGTTTCATATCAGGTTAGCGATTATTCTTTGACTTAAATCTTCTTAATAGTCCCAAAAAGTTTTAGCTTTTTTTACTTCTTAATAAAGAAGTATTGTGATAATGCAAAACTTTTAATAGATCTTGTGCTGAAAAAAGTCACATCTAGTATACCTAAACATAGGATAAGTATGAAGAAATGTGGTATATAATATAAATAAAAAAATTCCATTGATAAGTGTATTACTATATGTTTTTACAATATAGTATATATTAGAAATGTAATGGATGAGATTGCCTATCTTTTATACTCTAACGTAATTAAAAGTATAAATAGACTATCATTTAATGTACTGATATTTAGTCAAATGGAAAATTTTTGTGAAAAGTTTTATCTATTACATCTCTAATATATGAGTAAGCATAATAAAATATTGGATTTATGTAAATAAGTATTATGAAAGTCTGTCAGAACTAGTTTACATATATTATCTATTTCGAATATAATGATTGCAATTGTATAGTAATTTTATAGTTATTTTTAGTACAATAGGTAATTAAATTTACAAACTATTATTTGCACATGAACACAATGCTCAATGATATATTCTGATATTGTGTCCTGACATATATTAAATATAAGTTCTCAATATGACTTAACATTGTGTTTTAATAACAAGTTCCATGCTTTTCTTCACATATTTCCGACTGCTTCTCAAATTCTTCCAGAGACGGTAAATATTCATATAGTGCATTTATTGCGTATGTATTTTTCTGATTCTGGTAATATTTTCTTTTCTCGTGTCGAACTTTTAAGGCATCTTGCATTTTCCATATGAACGGTGCACATTTGCAAATTAAAAGTTTAACACAGCTGTAATAATGGACATAAGATAAATGAATTAGTATGATTCGAAACTAAAACTAAATAGAAAACTCATATAGGTGTTGAATAGAGGTCTTATATTACAAATTAGTTATCATGTTAGTTTCATGATTGAGTTAGATATCATCTATATGTGTCAAAGTATAAGTGCTGAATCAAAATTCAGAGTTTCTATTTATGAAAATCATACCCTATGTCTTCGTGAGCTGATCTTCCGGTTGCAATTTCTATTATAGTGTCAGGTAAACTTTTATCAGTTGCTATGCTCAACAATTTGGCTGCTCCTTTAGGTGGAGACTCAATGATCCAGTCGAGTGGAAGGTTTTGAGTTTTTCCTTTATTATTGTAATTGTTTGGTGACTGCAGTAATTCTTTTGGAAGAAGTGAAGAACTTAACTTAAAAATAAAAGAATTGTTAAAACTATAATAATATGATAGTTTTGAATCTGCAAAACCATGAAAATTAAAAATGTTGAAATTTATGAAAATTTTCAAATATATATTATAGTTTCTGTTATTTTATTAAAAATGCTTGAGTTGGAAATACTTTTGAATATTTTGATGAAGTTAAATTTAAAGAGTATTTTGTTATAATAATTAGAAATATGAGACAAAATATTTATATATAAATTTTATGGAAATATTTATATATAATTTTTTTAAATATGGTTGATTATAATTTACTATATTATTTTACTGAACATTTTGAAATACTCGATTATTATATTATAATTTATTAATTCTTATTTCAAATTTTGCGCCATTAATTTGAATGCCAAAATCAGCGCCCTCACGTCTGAGTGGAGAAACCTTTAAGTATTCCTTCTGAATATATTCCCGAAAGGGCAAAGTATTATTGTTTCATCTGGCAATACGATTAAAATTCAGTACTCTTTTTCAAACGTCAGATTCACTGTGATTGTTTTTATTGCTTAACGTGCTTAATCCATGACTTAATTATATATATCTTATTAAATCAATCTGATATTTCGATTATTATTCATATTTAGGTAATATATGATTTTTTCAATAATGATGCGGACCAATGCTCTGAACAAATTATTGAAGACTTTTCCAAGTTGTGCAAAAAGACCACTGTGCACAAATGCTGTAAACGTGAATGACATAGAAATTAATTACACCAGAAAAAGAAAAATGAAAGCATGGCATATTCATTCTTATGGATCGTTAGATGAAGTTAAACTTTCAGAAAAGTATAGGACTCCCTTCATTTCACATTCTAAAGATGTTTTGGTTAAAGTCCATGCTGCTTCAGTCAATCCTATCGATGTGGCTATGTTAGGCAGGTATTAAATCCATTTATTTCATTCTATCATGTAGGTCCTACCTACTTTTACTCTCTTGACTATCAGACAATTTTGTTATTAACTATTTAATAGGCGGATATGGGTCTACACTTCTTAATGTAATGCGTTGCAGTGAAATTGAATTCCCTCTATGCTTAGGCAGAGACTTCTGTGGTACAATTGTAGATGTTGGTCAAGAAGTCAATCGTAAAATTTGTCCTGGACAAAATGTTTGGGGTGTAGTACCAGTACAATTACAAGGATGTCATGCAGAATATGTTCTAGTTCCAGATAATTGTGTCAGTTTATATTTTAATTTTATATCTCATTTTTCAATTCAGACATTCTATTTTAAAATGAGATTAATCCAATTTCTTTTTTAGATTGCTTTGAAGCCTGATTTTCTTAGTGATGTTGAGGCTGCAAGTATACCCTATGCCGGCCTAACTGCTTGGAATGCTTTATTTAGTATTTGTTCAACTTTAACACCAGGTCATGGACCACGAGGGAAAAAGGTAATTATGAAAAGTTTTTTAGTAGAAGATACATCTGCAAAATTATTTTTATGTACACCTATTATTATATCTTCATAAGATGCATTTTTAGATGAAAATGACCCTCTAATATATTATATTTTAATGTCATAATTTAAATAAATATACAGAAGTATCTTTAAATTCAATTTAAGTTGTTTTCTATGCGCTATTTTTTTATCCCTATATTTCAATTCTTATTTAATACTACCATTAACTCTCTGATCCTATTAAGGGTAATATAAAATATTATATGAATTTAAAAAAAAAACTGTTTCTCTTTCCAAGTTTTGCCAATTCTGTTTTGTAATCCACTAAAATATGCATTTTTATAAGATTAAAATAATTCTTATTTGAATAGTAAAATATAAAATTTAAAATAAATTTCTTTTCAGGTTTTAGTGTTAGGGGCAGCAGGTGGTGTTGGGTCATTAGCAGTTCAAATGTTAGCAGCGGAAAAAGTCAATGTAATTATTACTGACAATTATTTCAAACAGGATAAAATATAAAATTGATATTTTCAGGTAATAGCTGTTTGCAGTAGTGATGCAATGGAATATGTTTCTAAATTAGGTGTTTCAGATGTTTTAGATTATACGGCAACAGATTTTAGTCAGAGTATTTTTGATAAAGGACCGTATGTATTAATTGTTATGTTGCACTATACATATCGCTACAATTGATTATATGTATATTTTTCTTCTAGATTTGATATTATTTTTGATTGTGCTGGTTTGGGTCCTCAAGGAGCGGGAAAATACCCTTGGAAATATTTGGTAATTGTTTTTAATACTTTTATCATATTTCACATAGTTTTTATATATTTATAATATGATGTTGTTTTTTAGTCTTATATAACTTTATCTTCACCTATGCTAAGAAATACAGATGAATTAGGAATGCTGGCTGGAATGGTAAAAAATATATCCAACTTATTGGAACCAAATATTAAATCATATTCTTCGGGACAAGGTGTGATACATTGGGCTTTTTTCAGGCCAAGTCTAGAAGGATTGATATATCTTAGGGAATTAGTATGCTCTGAAAAGGTTAGTTGAAATTAAATGTTTTTTAAAGGTTTTTTAATTGCATTTTAATGTAAAAGTAATCATTCAACTGCTTTTTATCAGCATGTTATCAGCATGAAAATTGGTTTTGAAAATGGGGACAAATTGTCTCATTATTATTTACTGCTTTACTTTATCACCATTTTTTTGTAATTATTTAATTCATTATTTAAATTTTTTTAATCATTTCAGTTGAAGCCTTATGTGAATGAAGTATTTCCTTTTGATAATATTCCTGAGGCCTATAAAAAAGTTTTGGGAGGACATATGAGAGGTAAAGTTATTGTAGAAATGCCTTAACTAAATTATAGTTAATTAAAATAACTATTTGTTACAAAATTATTTAATTTATATTCCTTTATATAGTGTATAATATTTATAACTTTATTAATATTGTATTATAATTGAAATGAATCATTATTTACTAACTTGTATTTCTTTAATAATTAAATAATTTTGTTAAAATATGTTATGGGTGATATATCTTTCAAGTAGAATTTTGATTTTGTACTGTTAAGTACATAATAGGTAAACAGGCTTTAAAAAGTGCCATTCTCCAGCAAATTTGTAATCACAAATATTTTGCGAAATATTTACTAAAATTTCTTATTTAAAATTGCATTAACTCAGATATAATAAAAACCCATACTTAATTATTTTCCCAAAGGAGAAGTTGGTTTTCTTGAAATAATTTGATATGCTAATTTTGATTACTCGACATTTCAAGTCATTCTGAATTGAATGAGATCAAATTTGGAAAAAGTATGTATGCGTGCGTCGATTTTGGACCTTTCGTCGATATTTACTCAAAACCGCCGGCTGGACAAATTTCAAAAGTTTAAAAGCCATTCAATGTTATTCTTTAAGTACTGGCGTTTATCAGTTTTGTGCGACGATCGGCCCAGACGTTTCTTTGTAATTAGCAGAAAAGTGTGAAATAACTTATCCACGGTTTAGCCCACAATATTTTATCAATTCCGGACCATTTCTTTGTAATTAAATGTTGATTTTTTTTTTGACGATTTTGATGAAACTTTGTAACAGTAATGCAATTTTTAATCAATTTCAGGCTGTTTTTTTTCATAATTAAATTTCAAATTAATTAATATTTTTTACTGATGATGTTGATGAAACTATAGATTTTGTAGTTTGAAATAACATATTAAAATATTATAGGCCTACGATAAGCGGTCAAATTAATCAAAGTTTAGAATTTCGCGCAGCGATTAAGCGATTCTAATCAGAATCTATGCCGAACATCTATATACGTCTTGTGTTCAGTAGCTACTGATTGCTCATATCTTAAAAAAATACATTTTTAGAACGCGAAATGAAAGAATGTGTTAAACAATTTAATTTATTTTTATTTGTACAATTACAATTATTATAAGTATGTTTCATTGACTTTATTTGGAACTCGAATTGTTTAATTTTTAGTGCAAGCGAAAATGTTATTATCAAAATAAACAGCTGAACATTTTACTTAAGTACCTGAATCAATTCTTATTGATTCCCAAAATCAAAAATTTAATCTTGAACCTTGAATGAACCATATTATGGGCTATGCGGTCAAGTGGGATAAATACAGACACAATGGTAACATCATACAATGTTTCAACTGCCAATCCTTTGGACACAATGCATCCTATTGTAATTTTAAATTCAGATGCATCGAATGTACTCAAGAACATGGACCGAAGGAATGTGCAAAAAAAAGGAAGATCTTCCACTGTACGTTAATTGTTCAGAAATCTAGAAATAAAGCAAAAACTAGAAGAATTGTTATCAAATATTAGATTGAGACACCAGTACATCCCTGCTCCAGCACCGAAATCTTTGACAAGGCAGTTCAATGCTGTACTATCAAATTCAAGACAATTTCCACTATTATTATTATTAAGTTGGTTGTTTATAAACCTATTTGTTTACAAAACACACACACACACACACATATATAATATATATATATATATATATATATATATATATATATATATATACATATACATATACATAAGGCAATTTGCCTTAAGGCAAAATGCATTTACAACCAGTTAACATAGCTAGAAGTTAACATAACTAGAAGAAATTATTAACAAGGACAGGAAATTTTATTCGGAATGGCTCATTGAAAATACATTAACGATTCATATTGAAAAAACTAAGTATATACATTTTAAACAAAAAAATGTAAGGAAAGAACTAAAATAAACATTAAAATAAATAATACAGATATAGAAGTAGTGGAATATATAAAATACTTGGGCCTTATAATACACGAAAAGCTAACATGGACAAAACATATAAATGAAATTAAAAAGAAGATAGCGGCATTAACAGGAGCTTTGAAAAGATCAATTTTTTGGGAAACAAATTAAGATTCTGATTTTGAAAGCGCATATAATTTTCATAATTTTATATAGAATAAATTCTTGGAGTCAAACAACTAAAGCTAACTTAAATGATTTACAGTGAATAGTAAACAAAGCCATAAAAATATTATATAATTTTTCATATTTAACACCCACCAAATACTGACAAACAGAAACCAATAATCATTCACTAAACAACATAAATAAAATAGAGAAATGCAAACTAATGCACAAAATTAAATATAACAGAATTAAAACACGTACAACAATAGACACAAATCAAGATATACACGAGCACTACACCAGACAACACGAAAATTTTCACATTGAACATAATAGAAAGAAGAAATTAAGAGGAAATGTGATATGGAGCGCAAGTAAAATATATAATGAACTGCCAATCGATATAAGAATACCAGTGACGACAATAATTTCAAAAGGAAAATAAAGAAATTGAATATTGAATAGATATTAAAAGATATTTTAATTATTCTAAATATTATATTATTGTATAATGAAATTGACAAATTATATATAAATATGAAATTTGTTTTCATAATCTCTCATACCAGTCAACTCCTGTCTGACTGAGATATGAAAATAATAAATAAAAAAACATAACCATAATGCATATCACAGATAAAAGAAGAGTATAATGAGAGTATATATGATGCTTTTATATATTATGCTGTAATATATATTTTTTTATATTCATATTATGATTACTATGATTGATGCTATGATGATTATGAGAATTTAAATTCCGAAACGTTGGTTTGGAAATTGGCCTAAACTTAATTCTCTAAATAAATTTCCTCACTCCGAATCACATCGGTAGTCACAGGCAACACTTTTTGTCGTGCACATGGTGAAATTGGATTTGTGTATAACCTCAACTAGGTTCTTAAAATGTCAAAATGTGTCGTTGAGTTTGTGCTAAATTAGTTATTGTCCATATCTTTTTGATATAAATATATATTATAATATTTCAAAAATGTCTCCTCAAGCGGTTCACAGAGTCGGCTCCTTAAAACAAACTAACAAGTCTCACAAAACTGGCAGACACCGTTCCAAAGGTTCAATAGAAGCAATAAAAAAAGGTAAAGTAAACAAAGTAAAGATATCTAAAAAGATCCATGCATTAACGCGCATTGAGAGGAAAAACCAAGCGCAACAAATTCGTAAGAACACCCAAGATTCAGTTAATAATAAAAAATCTAAATTGGGAACGCTGAAGGGAGCTCCATTTTTAGTCGCTATAGTACCTTTGAATTTGGATATAGACTCTAAATCTGTCGTTTCCTCCTTATGTTCATGTGATGAAGAAAATATTGTTACATACTCAAAATCCGGCGTTACACATATAAGCTCTAAAAGATTTAAACAAAGATTTTCATTTGTATGTCCTCCGATTGGCCATGGTCTTGAATTTGGTGTCTTGGACACTCTTAAAGTAGTTGATACTGTAATGTTTATTACATCTGCAGAAGATAATCTTTGCATTGATGACTGGGGATTGGGTATATTATCAGTTGCAAAGGCTCAAGGTATTCCCACAAGTATAGTATGTTGTTTGAATATTAACTCGTTGAAACCAAAAGAGAAAAATGAATTACGTCAACAAATAAATGATTGCCTGAATGTGTATATACCAAATGAAAAAGTTATAGATTGTGGCAGTGTATCTGATAACCTTAACATTTTAAGACGTATTTGCACTCAGAAACAAAAATCTATTCTTTTCCGTGATACCCGTCCTCATCTTTATGCAGAGAATCTGGAATTTATTCCAAATGCTGATAAAACGGGTACTTTAAAATTTACAGGTTTTTTGAGAGGAACACAATTAAATGTAAATGACTTAGTACATATTCCAGGCATTGGAGACTATCAGATGAATATGATAGAATCTACACCTGATCCCCATTATTTTGAAAAGTTTACAAATAGCGGTGATTGTCGAATATCAGAAAGTTCAGTTTTATGTGTAGCAAATCCTTCCTTACAACAATCATTAGAAGTAGAAAATATTCCTGATCCTATGGATGCCGAACAGACTTGGCCCACTGAAGCTGAAATTGATGAAGCTAAGCAAGCATTGAAGGCCAAACGATTGGTTAAAACAGTTCCTAAGGGTATGAGTGAATATCAAGCTGCATGGATTCCAGATATTGATGAAATCAGTGTTAGCGATGAGGAAGAAGAAAACTCTGATGGTGAAATGTCTGTTGATGATAATGCATCTCAAGTAGATGAAAACAATGAGTCAGATTATGAATCTGAAGAAGAGATTGAAATTAATACAGACAAATATGATACAAATTTCAATGCACAATCTGAGGAACAAGATCTGATGAAATTGCGCGCTGCGAATGAGGACCGGCAATTTCCTGATGAAATAGATACCCCTATGGATATACCAGCTAGAGAACGTTTTAGAAGGTATAGAGGTCTAGAGTCTTTCAGGACATCACCATGGGATCCTAAAGAGAACTTACCTACAGATTATGCAAGAATATTTCAATTTGAAAATTATGATAGAATGCGTAAAAAGATTCTCAAAGTAAGAGAAGGAGATGTCAGTCCTGTGCAACCTGGCATGTATATAACAATACACATAAATAATGTGCCACAACATATGGCTAAAAAGATTTTGGGATATGCTGTTCCTGTGGTTGCAATAGGAATGTTGCCACATGAACAGAAAATATCAGTAATGAATGTAAAATTAAAACAAACATTAGATCATAATGAACCCATTAAATCTAAAGAAAGATTCTTAATACAATGTGGTTACAGAAGGTTTTTTGTTAATCCTATTTTTTCAGAGCACACAAATGCATCAAGACACAAATTCCAAAGGTTTTTCCAACCTGAAGATACAACAGTTGCTACTTTCTACGCCCCAATACAATATAGTCCTGCTCCTGTTCTTTGTTATAGAATAATGAGTGATTTTTCTTTAAAATTGGTAGCTACTGGAAGTTTGATTTCCTGTAATCCTGATAGAATTATACTGAAAAGAATTGTTTTATCTGGACACCCATTTAAAGTTAATAAACGATCAGCTGTTATTAGATTCATGTTCTTCAACAGGGAAGATATTTTATATTTCAAACCGTGCAAGTTACGTACAAGGGCAGGAAAATCAGGTCATATAAGGGAACCATTAGGAACCCATGGGCATATGAAATGTGTATTTGATCAGCAGATTCAATCACATGATACTATATTTTTAAATTTGTACAAAAGAGTATTTCCAAAATGGAATTTTGAGCATTGCACAATAAACCACATTAACACTGATGTTCCAGATGAAATGATGCAAGATTAATTAAAATTGTTATAAAGAAAAATGAAACAGCCTTGTAGGTTTTTTAATAAACCTATCCTGTGGCCTATTTCGGCTGAACGTGTCAGATGACAAATTTAATCGAATGCTTATAATTATATATATTTGTATATATACTTGATTATAAAATAAAATGATGGATTAAAGTTACGAACTCGTTTTATTTAATTTAAATGTAGGAACTATAATAATAGGTACACTTAGGTATTTATTTTTCTTTTTTTTTTAAATATAAGGTTAAATAAATTGATATTTCACGTTTATTGGATTCATATAACTCTATTTCTTTTCATATTCAAGATCATTTGGTAGCTACCAATCAAGTTTTATATTTGTTAAATTTGTTTGCAAAACAATTTCTCTTTGCATTTAAAATTATTATTTGATGGATACCGAAAGGCAGAAAATTAGTAATTAAATTCCAGTATTTGAAAATTCAAAATGATGTGATAATTACCAATCTAATTCGATTTCATTAGCTTTGTCTGAGGATATAGACAACCCATAGACAACCTATGTTACTTAATATAATTTTCTGTAAAAGGTTTGCTATTCGAGTCGGAGTTATTGCAACGAATGCGTAAAGATCATTGAATATTTTTGGAACAAAAGCAGTCATAGTAGAATGAAAAGGTTTAGAAATAATCTCGAAAAAATTTAAAATTATTATTTTGTGTGTTTATTATATACTAACCAATTGAGCAAGGAATATTATGGTGTTAATAGCCAGTGCGCCAATTTTTGATCCACCTAATCCCAATAGACGAAAAAATCCTCCGAACATAGACTCTCCATTTGGCTGATCTTGTTGATATTTGTTTGAAGATGATTTCTTTCCAAATGCCTGTGATACCAGGCGAGCGATTGTTGATGCATGGTCCAGGCTGAACATGTTACTAGCCATTTTCAGACCTAAATTATAAAATATTGGTTTAATTGCAGTTATTAATTAAATGCAATTATCAAGATTATAGTTAAATTAAAAGATGGTTTTATAATTCTTATATTTTATAATAATTCTATATATAATATAACAGAATGGATATATTTTTGAATATATATGGTAACAGCCATCAGAAAGTCGAATATAGAATAACTAGGTGTTAGTGGCATTTTCTCTTAAGACAAGTTGTATAAACGTTCCCATATGTGTAAATATATTTACTATTATAATAGTCTTCAGAGATTTAGCATCTTTTAAAATTGTGATGATAAATATTTCAACTATCTCTATATTGGAATAAAAGATTTCATCTTTAAAACTATTGAACGCAATTTCCAATTGATATTATATAGGTTATATGTTTTAATACTATGATATGCATAATAAATTGCAAAGATTGTCCTGTATTATACATTAATAAAACGAAGTTAAAATTATAAAAAAAACGAGTCGGAGCACTTGCATTTTATCAAAGATGTACACATTAATAAAACATATATTATACACTTAATTCACTTCTGATTTTTACTGATAATTTTATACTCATTATCAGATAATAAAACTTGGAAGAATATTGTATGTAAAATAAATATTTATAAAAATGATTTTACAAAAAATAAATTTACGAATAGTCACAAAAACTGGACATGATTCTTACATTTTATTTCACAATTTTTACAAATAAAATTATCATACACAGTCAGAAAGAAAATTTCCGATGAAACACAAACATATTATAAAACTATTATTCAGTCTAGCAAAAGTTAAAATTATAAAAAAAACGAGTCGGAGCACTTGCATTTTATCAAAGATGTACACATTAATAAAACATATATTATACACTTAATTCACTTCTGATTTTTACTGATAATTTTATACTCATTATCAGATAATAAAACTTGGAAGAATATTGTATGTAAAATAAATATTTATAAAAATGATTTTACAAAAAATAAATTTACGAATAGTCACAAAAACTGGACATGATTCTTACATTTTATTTCACAATTTTTACAAATAAAATTATCATACACAGTCAGAAAGAAAATTTCCGATGAAACACAAACATATTAAAAAACTATTATTCAGTCTAGCAAAATGTGTTTAAAATTTTTTGACTTTCAACAATGATTTGCAGTGAACTAAACTTTTTCAAGAATTTCATAGGTAAAAAGTAAATTCTTATATATTAATGTATATTATTTTTGATTCTAATAGTTCCTGCAGAAGGGTACAGTTTATATACCCGAAACGTAGAAAATATTTGTACGTGAAAAATTAAAAAAATATATAGTTTTTTGAGAAAAAAATGAGGTTTTACGTTCAAGATATAATACGCGTTTTTAGTTAGTGAATTAACTTTTATGAAAATTGGTTGAATCATTACCTGATTGAATTTTCTCAAATATACCGGAATTTTTCCGTCCTTCACAATTATTATAGCACATTAATACGAGAAATGTTATTACCAATAAATATTGTAAACGCATTTTGCAACTACCATAAACTTTTGTTTAATGTTTATTTCTTGTTGAAAACTTTGAAAGAAATGATCAACACTTATGACTTTGAAATTACGGTTACTGAATAATTTATTAAAACAACAGGGCGCCTGAACATTTTCGTTAGCTTGATAATCAGATCTATAGTATGAAGATATAGCAGATTGAATGAATTATTGAATATTATAGAATGAATTAATTATTATTTTTTAGTTTCGATGCCACAATAGACAACATTTATCTATGACTAAACTATGACCATCATATGAGGTGCTCATTCACTAATCCTAATCTAAGCTCATTTATGCTGAAAAATAGGCAAAAAATCTCTTGATCACTCATATATCTTTTTTTAAATATTATTTTTATGTTTTGTAAATTGAACACCTCAACATTTTATTAGACGTTTTACATATCCAAGATGAAGGCTTATTCTTTAAAGTCATTATTATCTAGGAAATGAATTTACATTACTTTCTGATATTCAATAATTAACTTCCCGTAGGGTAAGTTATAGTAATCGCAGAAAAATCGAAAATGAAAATGTTTATATATCTTTACGTTTCAGAGGTTTCTGAATATTTTGGCATACCTTAGAAAAAATGGATGTATGTGTGTGTGTGTGTGTGTGTGCGTAGTAAGAATGTGTGTGCGGATACAAATTTTCGTCGACGATTTCGGGAACACGAATGAAGCAATTTGAATAATTTAAAAAACATTCGATCCGTATTGATAAGGAAACGTGCTGATTAGTTTTTGGCGGAGGTAGGTCTAGCCGTTCCGAAGATATGGGGCAAAAAGTGCCAAAAACGGTACCTCAGTTTTTAATAGAACGGAGCGTCCGATTTTAATAATTCAAAAAATATTTTACTTGTATTAACAAGATGAAGATTTGATCAAATTTTTATAAGGCAGGTTTAGCGGTTTCGGAGATCTAACGAAAAAAGTAAAAAAAAATGCCATTTGGCGGTCAAAAATGATCATTAGACGTATGCACATCAAATTATCAGATATTTTATAGAGATTTTACCAATAAGTAAAAATTTTGTTTAAATTCCTATAGGTTCCGTACCAATTTTTACCCGTTAGACAGCGACGCGGCGCTTACGCGCTTTATATTTTGTCTCTATGCATTTAAAGCAGTACGATTGCTTTGAAAAAAAGTTCAGATCTTCCAAAACATGTCAAAATATAGAAAACAATTTTTTTTTTTTTTTAAATTTAAAAAAATAATTTTTTTTTTAATTTTTTTTTTTCAAAAAAAAGTATTTTTTTGTCCAATTTATAGTCTCTCAAAAATCTTATTTTTTCGAAGTAAAATTTTTTCAAAAATGTATCGTTTTTAAAAGATAATAATTTTTGGTACGGGAAGTTTCAGCAATTTGCCTTAAGGCACGATGCCCTAATTGCCTTAAGACAGAATTCCACTTACAGCTAGTTTATTTATTCAAATTTAAAGTAATTCAATAATACGATTTTTATAATTTTTACTTGATGTTTGCTTATTTTTTCATTTCTCAAACATGAATTTTTATACTTTTCGTGAATAGTCATTCGCTTATTTTTTTAAAATTATAATAATTCTTCAAATTTTATTTGCTTAAATGTATAAGTTTATCTTTAATTCAATTAATTGTTATTGAAATTACATAAGTCAGTCAGTTGAACTGACTACTGACTACTTAACTACTACTGAACTACTTTAGTATATACTAATACTAAAGTAGTAGTATTTCTTACGACTTTAATTTGTCGGAATCATTTGCAAGGTTTATTTTACATTTTACCGTGGTATTATATTTTATTTAAAAGTTTGGCTATTCTGTTAGTATTTTAAAACACCTCTGTTATAACAGTCTTGTTACAATTATCAAGAAAAGTGTCACAAGTATTTGCTAGAATATGTATGACATTTTTCTTAGTTTTGCATTCGGAGGATTATTTATAATATACAAAAACATTAACTTATATTTTATTATTACTTTGTCGTTCCTATTTTACCCTATTCCTGTAAACAATTGTGTTTTAAACGTAAGTTTATTGAAATAATTTATATATTATTCGTAGTTTCTATAAATTTTTGAAGTTATTAAAACGGAAAATATTTTTTAAAATGGAAATACTTTATAGCTTTATAATTTTTCTTGTATAGGATTTATAATGTTACAGTTCGATAATTTGAATCGTATATTTAGTACAAATTTAATATGGCAGTCATATATAAATAAAAATGATTAGTATTGGACTTCTATTGAATTGAAATTGATAAATGTAGAAAAAGTTTTAAATTTGTTGCCAAGATTCATATTGGACTTTTATTAGACTCTCGTTAGATGTTGTGGAGATTCCTATTGGACTTTTATTAGATTCAGCATGAAGAAAAGTTTTAAATTTGGTGCGGAGTTTTTATTTATTAATTTATTTTAGTTTATTATTTCCGGGTAAGTTTTTGATTGATTAGTAAATGTTGCAACTTTTAAAAATTAATCTATTGTTTAATTGTCTAGATATTAAGCTGTTCTTATATTTTTTACTCCGAATCATAAAAGTCGAAGTCACTCCACCATATAAAGAAAGCATTTACAGAAATTGAAATAGCGTGACGGTAATGTGTGACCCGGGACACAAGAAAAACACCTTGAGCAGGAAGTTATGGTCTTATTTTATAATATCATCTAATTTGCGAAGTGATTTACTGTTTTCGTTCCGTAAAATCATACACTGTCTATTTACTTCCCAACATCATATCCCATTTGGCAGCAATCTGCACCTAATGTCGTTTGCGACTCAGTAATAATGCTTTTATTTATAAGAAAATAGATTTTTTATTGGTTTATAGATATAATATTTTTTAAATTGGTATAAAATGTTCAGCAAATCTATATTCATTCTAATAATTCAATGGTGTATGTTGGATGCAAACAGTTCTAAAACTCCATCGATGGTATTGTCGCCAGCGCAAATTAATAGTTTAAAGGAATTAAGTGAAATACCTTTAGACAAACTTTTGAAGGTATGTATTGATCACAAAATGTACTTTAAAATTTTCAAATATTATTTTATATATACTGTGATATATGTGTCCTTGGATTGGAAATGTTGCAAATGTGAGTATTCCCGAAATCGAATAATACGCGTTTTTTTTAAAATTAAATATAATGTTCCTAGTAAAGTAATTGAAATAGAAGTATATTAGATATTTTTCAAACTTTGTTACTATTTATAAGTAATATCTTCAATCGATATTTTAAATTTGTCCGTACTTGTAAGGTGATCATACGTCCCGGATTGGCCGGGACAGTCCCGGATTTCCACCTTGTGTCCCGGGTTATTTTAAAAGCATGATGTGTACCGGATTTAGATCTTTTGTTCCGGATTGACCCGTTTTTTTTTTAAATTAACAGATGAATTATCAAAAATTATGAAAACAAACGAACAAGTGCTAATTTTTTCAAAATATTTATGAACAAAATTGAATAAAATTTTATACAAAACTTAAAAACGCGAAAAACATATAGATCCATATAAGATATAATATCATAGATGAAAAAGTATGACATATAATCGAATAATAAAGTCCCGGATTCGCATAACCAAAAATTGCCGTCCCGGTTTTGACTTAAAAAAAATATGGTCACCTTAGCACTTATGCTTTAAGTTACACCAGTTCGCTTTGATAGATTTTGTCGTAATGAAGAAAATGAATCGAAAGTATTGGTTTTTGTAACTTGTAATGTTAATCTAATGTTAGTCTAATTTTCTGTATAATTATTAGGTGAAGAAATCTCTAACTTCTTCAGCATCAATCAACCGTTTCGATGAGGCTCCAACAAATATTCAATATAATTATAAACATGGACCAGAAATAGCTCACGCACAACCCCTGATTGGCGGCGAGAAAAAACCACTACTGAGAAGGTATCAAATGAATCTTTCATCATAAATTTTTTATTAAGTTAATTATATTTAATTAATTGATACTGCTGTGCGGAACCGCGAGCCGCCCAGAAGCGTTACTGAACGGTTCATGCAAGACAATATTTTAAGATTTTTGAACCGTTAAAAAAAACTTCTACAGAACTAAAAATTATAATGAAAAATTCTGAATAGTTTAACTCGTAGTACTAACTCTTGAAGCAAAGATCGGCAAATTTGAAATGTCTGAAGACGACACTCGTTCTCACATAGGCGACGACACGTGGATGCCGCCTATAGGCGACGCTTTTAGCTTTTAGAGTTTTTAATACGAAACTTTACGAATTTATTTTATTCATTAGATTATGTATGCAAACATACATAAAAACGCATAAATTAGGATCATGAATTTTGGTTCGTGCTAGAAATCGAGATTAGAGTAATACACGATGAAACAACTAGAGCATCATATTATTGTTTATAACAGTATTATTTATATTAGTTTTAAGAATAGTTTTTAATAATTTATTATGTCACGATTTATTTATATTGCTTTAATTTGTTTTTCAGAGAATATGAACATGAATGGACTAAAGATTCTGGAGGAGGAAAAATTCGTAGCGCATTTCACTTGGCAATTACCACATTATCTTTTCTTGCATTTGGTGGATATTTGCTGTGTATGATTGTACAAGCAGTGAAGAATAAAGGTATTATGTAGAAATTGATTCTATCTATTTCTTATTCTATTCTATCTATTTAATGTAACCACTAACTGCGGAAGAATATCGGATAAGGAATGAATAAACCATGCAATATATTACACAATCTAATTTTTTGTACGTCATTTCAATATATTATTTATAATTGCCTTAATTTAAGCAAAATCTATTTATGAACAGTCGCGAATATAATATTAGCAGCTAACAATAATATATATTTGATCTATTTCGGATATCCAAATATGAATTGGATACAGATAATATATGATATTATCAGTTGAATTTTGTTAATATATCAAAAATGGAAATAACTTAATCATTATATATAAGAAATTATTCAATAAGTAAATATTGTGAATTTTATATTGAAAGGAAAAACAACTACTGAGTTGCTTTTTCCAACATGTCAATGTAGTATACAATGTCCCTTTTCGGTGGACTATTGTAAATTCATTAAATTTACTGAATGTCCTTTACTGGACAGTTGTAAATAAAAGAGTTAATAAAAAAAATATATCTTACCAATCTGAATTTGGTTCTTTAAATAGTTTCCATAAATTAAGACTCTCCTCTTAATTTATCATATCTATTCTAACTATCTTACCATCAAAAAACGACCCAGGTGTTCATACCACGTTTCTACATGCATAATTATATTTAAACTATAGGTAGAAGATTTGGTATTTTGCTTTCATTCAGTTGCAAGAAATTTCAGATACATGCAACAATCGATTTGCAAAAAAAATGTGATTTAGTAACTTTTTTTTAACTATCACATCAATAAAATTTCGATATTCTGATGAACTTTGGCGTATTTTTATAGGTAAACATCTTTTTCGTAGGTCCATAATATTTTAGGATGCTCGTTAATACTATAAACCTTTTCATAAGACGTTTCATCAAAATCGTCCAAAAGATATTTAACAATTTTCATTCTTTTCCAAAGACTAATCAAACGATTTTCCTATTGATATCTTTCAAATAGTTTTTCAGTTTTCAAAATCGGTTCAGTATTTCTCACGTTTGGAACAAAAAACTGTAAATACAACTATACAAGTCTATAATAAGTACAAATATAATTAATTATTACAAATTAATAATATAAATCTAACTACAATTTTTTAATTGATATTGGTTTGATTCTAGGCATGTACTATCCAATGCAACCGCAAACGACCCAAGCCCCGATGTTTTTATCATTTCCCCCGAAAAGAGGACCGCAAATTGCAAGTTACGGAAGGAAAAAGAGGAGCCAAAGTGAAGGGCCGTCTTATTCATCTATGCACATGCAAAGTGATGAATTTACTTTCAAAAATGATACTGGAAACTTGTATTACGAGCCAATGTTCCAGGGAGGTATACTAGCTAATCAGTACGAAATGTATAATGCATTAATAATGCTGTCTGAAGGGTTTGCAAAACACTCTGTTATTTAAATATGGGAATATTATATGGAAACTGTGCAACCGAGTTCTTACTAAATTAGATTAAATGCAAGTAATTTAGTTAGCCTATTTGTTACCAACTTTTTTGGCATAATCATCACTGTGTTGATAAAATAATTTCTTGATAATTTTCCAAACCCAACAAGTTCTTTTTTTTGGTTGATAGTAAATAGATTAAGTAACAAATTATAAATATAAATTCTACATATAAATTATTTTATCTATTATAAATACCGAAAACTTACATTTAAATATATTTATTATTAGTATAAGCATAAATTATTATTATATAATATATAGAAATATTTTACAACATTTTTAATACATTTATAGTATCATTAATACAATTTTTTTCACAAGGCAACGATCCAAAAGCAAATCTTCAAATTTTTCAGAATTAAAACCAAAAACTATCACATTTTATTTTTTATTTATATGTGGACTGACGTTTTAAGATTATTCTTGATGGCTTGTACAACATCCATACTGTTTGCATGGCCACCGATATCTGAAAAATAATGAAAATAGTAAAAAGAATGAAGGTTACAGTTAGTTGATGTAAATGAGTGATTATTTCATTAAATTAATAAAAATAAACATTTAATTGATAATTAATATCTATTAGTAGTCTCATTTTATATTACTTTATAAATTTGTATTACAAAAGTAATGGGTTATGTGAGTGGAGAGATACGCCAAATATGGATTTTCTCTTATCTATGACTCTATAGATACTTTCTTGTTTCTGAAGTGGTTTTGAAAAAAGAAACCAAATATTGAAAATGATTACAGGTACTTTATGAAACTACAAACTAAAGTAGAAGGTCTGAAAGGACAGAAGCAAAGAAAGGCATGTATCGACGCCTTATTACAGAAAATTGAAGAAACGAGTCACAGGAAATAGAAGTAAGCTCAAGATTGATTATATATATATATATATATATATATATATTCACACACACTCATATCTTTAATAAAATCCCTCGGTAGGGCGGTCCCTTATTACCTGGTGTGTGCACTTGATCCTCATTTATTGTTTTGTCAATAGCCGTCTTGATTGCATGTGCATGACGATTGTGCCCCAAATGGAATAACATATCAACAGAAGCATTTAACATTGCTATGGGATTAGCAAGATTTTTTCCAGCAATAGCAGTACCAGTATTTCTAGTTCCAGGCTCGAAAATAGCGTACTGAATAGTTAAAATGGAAAATTATAAATATTGCAAGCATTTGACTAGAGTTAATTAGTTAATGTATGCATCTTCTGATCACAATAGTTTATCCATAATATGTGTAAACAATAATAATTGTTGGATAAACATTTCACTATTATTGGTCAGAAAACAATTCATACAAAATATCACTTCAGATTATAATTTTTTTTTTTCAAAACAAAAGGCTTCAAACATTAAACTCAGATATTCTTTATATTGTAGATAAGAGCAAAAATTTCTACAGAATATTTTTCATAAAATAACATACAGAAAAAGTGATATTGTGTGTTGAGATATTGTTTTGAACTAATTGACTTCTCATTTCATACTTACATGATCTCCATAGTTCTTTCCACTTAACAAACCGGCACCACCAACCAAACCGCAAATAACATTAGATACAATAGTGCCGTACAAATTCATCATATTCATAACATCAAATTGATGTGGTTTAGAAACCAATTGCATACAACAATTGTCTATAATCATGTCGTTATGTTCAATATTTGGGTAATTCTTTGATACGTCTCTTGATATCTCTAAGAATAATCCATCTGACAATTTCCTGCAAATAATTTGACACAGACATATTAAAGTAGAAATATGTTATAATTTTTTATTCCTTAATAAATTTTACTTACATAATATTTGCTTTATGGATTGTGGTTACTTTCTTTCTGCCATTTTTTTGTGCATATTCAAAGGCATATGTTGCAACTCTTCTGGCGTTTTCAGCAGTTACTACTTTCATACTCTCAACTACACCTGATACACTCTGAAATATTATTATTTATAAAAAACAATTTAAAATATCAACAATTAAGAGAATGTTAAACTCACCTCATGTTCCAACATTGCATATTCTCCTTCAGTATTCTGTCGAATGATTGTAATATCAATATCATGGTGTTTACTTTGCACGCCACTATATGAACGACAGTTTAAAACATTTACAAATAAATCTAATTCGTTTCTCAGGGCCACATTACGGGATAATACTTGTGCAGATTCACTTTTGGTTTCAATATTACCTATTATTTTATAAACAATGTTATTTTTATCTCCATGTACATTTTAGTTACAATTGTACCTTTAATGGCAACTCCATTTCTTTTAATTGAAGTGATGGCATATTCTAAATCAGCATCTGAATGTACAGATGGATCTATTGTAATTTCTTCGAAATCTACTGGTACACCAGCATATCTGTAAAGTACAAAGAATTTTGCATGACATTTAACTAATTCTATTTTATTCTATACCATCTAATTTATTCGGAATACAGATATATATCAAAATAATTTGTTATAAACTATGTATCATTTGTTTACTGAAATTTTATATGCCAGAATATAAGCATAGGAAAGCAAATATTCAGTAAGTGTATATTTTACTTTACTCTAAGGAATTACCTGAAAACTTCTTTTACATATCCCATAAGTTCTGGACCAATACCGCCTCCAGGCAGCATTGTGACTGCGTGACGACCCCCATATTGTGCTTTTGGAATTTCATCCTTTGATGTAACAAAATAATAAAAATCAGGGTTATATTATATATACTTTAGCATACTAGTACTGATAACCGGTTGAAGCTACTAGTTAAAGTAGGCACATAAAGTCTGAATGTTTGTCTACATCCAATTAGTATATATATATATATATATATATATATATATATATATATTATATATATATAATAAATACAGTGTTAATACTAGATAAAAATTTAAAGTAATTTAATTTATGATCATTCACAATATTAAAATAATATTGACACTTACTGATTGCTTAATAAGAGGGGTTTTATGTTGAATATCAAATGCAGATAGCGTCGAAGCCTAAAGAAATATGTTTTCGATTAATTATTCATATTGTTAATATTATTTTTACATATGTCACATTTATGTAACCTTTTTGATATCTTGACAAATTCCAAGAGAGTTTCTTAAAGGCTTCAGAATCCGTAACGCCATTTCGATATACTGCTTAAATTGTGCAATCGCAATCTAATAATGAATATTGTTCATCAAACTTTATTTAGATTTATTTATTATTTTATATTTGTCTAAAATTAACTGTTTTCACTATTTTGGAACTTTTCAACATAAGAGATATTTTATTATTTTGGGCAACACTAAAAAGACAATTATCAAACTATGGTAATACTAGTAACAAAACTCAAGTCATATTTCAGATTTTGTGAATGACTTTGTAGTTTCTGAAAAATAATATTTTGAATAAACGTAAATGGTAAGATTTGTTTTAAATACAATTTTTTGAATACTAAATATTATATTTTCAATTGATGAAATACTTTTGTGTTTCTATGAAGTTAAATCTAAATTGACGTAAGCAGTAATAACAAAATGCGGCTTAGAGCTTAATTTGAAATTTCTTTCTCTTATAGTTTATTTTTCTTAAATAATTACTGTGGTGGAAAATAATATAATTCAATCATCACATTAATATATTTCTCAGGGTCAGAGTCAATCAGGTGGAAATGCGGGTGGTGAAAAAAAAGATGACAAAGAGAAAAAGAAGAAGTATGAGCCACCAATTCCAACTCGTGTAGGTAAAAAGAAACGTAGGACTAAGGGTCCAGATGCAGCCCTAAAACTGCCACAAGTCACTCCTCATACAAGATGTCGTCTAAAACTACTAAAATTAGAAAGAATTAAAGATTATCTTCTCATGGAAGAAGAGTTTATTCGTAATCAAGAACGACTCAAGCCTCAGGAAGAGAAAAATGAAGAGGAGCGATCAAGAGTAGATGACTTGAGAGGAACTCCTATGTCTGTTGGTAATTTAGAAGAAATTATTGATGATAATCATGCTATTGTTTCTACTTCTGTGGGTAGTGAACATTATGTCAGTATTTTGTCCTTTGTGGATAAAGATCAGTTGGAACCTGGTTGTTCAGTCTTACTGAATCATAAGGTAAATATAATTATTTATTAATTTTAATTCTGTAGTTTTCTTAGTTTAAAATTAAAGGCTTTTTTTTAATATTGATCAAACATATCGATTGTTGTTTTTGAAATGTGAAATATTTATCTCTTAAGTTAATTGAAATAGTACTTCTGGAAATGTATTGACGTTTTTGACAAAGTTTATATACAAATATAACAAATCTTTATATACAAATACAAATTTATCTACATTATCTTTCTCACCAACATTACCATAATGAAATTTATGAAATAAAACTGTAATAACTATTTACATTGCTTCTTTGACACATGCTCAAATTGAACAAAAGTAGCATTTATATAAACAATTCTCATTTATATTTAAAACATCTATTAGTTTGAATTGCAAAAAATATTTTGCAACACTTATATTTATTAGATCTTGAATAACATCTAAAATTAATAGTAGCTTAAAGTATTTTTTTTTATCAATTATTCATGAATTCATAACCATTCACCTATTTTAAAACCATTAGCAAATGTTTCATTATTTAAAAGATTTTTGAGTATGCATTGTGTAACAAAACTAATGTTTTATGTCATAGGTCCATGCAGTTGTTGGAGTTCTGGGTGACGATACTGATCCAATGGTAACAGTTATGAAATTGGAAAAAGCTCCTCAAGAAACATATGCTGATATTGGAGGATTAGATACACAAATTCAAGAAATCAAAGAATCTGTTGAATTACCTTTGACTCACCCAGAGTACTATGAGGAAATGGGAATAAAACCGCCAAAAGGTGTAATATTATATGGACCACCAGGAACTGGCAAAACATTACTGGCAAAAGCTGTTGCCAATCAAACTTCAGCCACATTCTTGCGTGTTGTGGGAAGTGAACTTATTCAGAAATATTTGGTAAGTTGAATATTTTTGTTAATTATATTGTTTAATTTGCAGCTAATTCAGTTACATATGATAAAGATATATAATAAAGTTATACAAATTATTAAAAAAGTATGAATATTCAAACAAAAATATAAAACTAATTTTATTCTAAATATTTGTCAAATCCTTTTATTATTCATTATGTATTTGATCTCATAAAAATATTCATTGTGCTAATTGTAACTATGTTAAACAAGAAGTAACTATATTAACCTATTTTTTTTTATCTCATTTAGGGTGATGGGCCTAAACTAGTTCGTGAATTGTTCCGAGTAGCAGAGGAACATGCTCCTTCAATTGTTTTCATAGATGAGATAGACGCTGTTGGTACTAAACGTTATGATTCAAACTCAGGAGGTGAACGTGAGATACAAAGAACTATGTTGGAGCTACTAAATCAGCTAGATGGTTTTGATTCAAGAGGAGATGTCAAGGTTTGTTCATTTTTTTGTACTTATTTCAAGATATTAAACTGAAATTCTCAAATATCTGAATCTCTATCTGAATTTTTATGAGTAAAGTTGAAACTGCCCGGAAGGGAATTCTACAAATCATTAGAATCTACAAAATTCAATAATTTAAAATGAATATGCCAAATACTCAGGTTTATCAATTTTATTATCCATTTTGGAGATCTTATTATTGGTATGGAATTCTATATTATCACATTATCAACAGATTGAGTAAAATATGTCTATGGCTATTGATTATTAATGGGCCGTGTCTCCTTACTTGTTAAGTTTTCAAGTGAAATGAAACAATTTTTCTCTATTTCCAAAGGAAATTGGAAGAATATTAATATTATTTTTTCTTTATAATTAATTGTAAACATTTGTTTACATAATTAACAATAGTCATTAACGTTTTTTTATACTGATACATAAGAAAATGTGTTGATATCTCTTTTTAAATAGTTTAGAATTTATTAGGTTTTAAAATAAATAATGACTTCTGATAGTGATAGTGAAGTTTACTCACAAGGGAACCCTCAGGTTTACTCGTCTGGGATTTTGATGAAATTTTGCATGGTGATAGTCAAACCAAACCTTGTAAAATATTATAGACTTATGAGAAGTGCTTTAATTATAAAAATAAATAAATATAAATATTTTTACGTTATATAACTATTTAAACATAAAAATATTTTAAAAAAAAAAAAAAACAAATTATAAGCTGTTGAGATTCGAACTCGGTTACTTTTAACTCTCTTATCTATGAATCCGAACGCAAAACATAGGAGCAAGAGTTTTAATGAGCCCAGCTATGAGGATATGTCGATAAGGAACACTATTACGGGAGCAAATAAGGCGTGGTCTATTTTTAGCAACTTTAATTAATTTTTATAATTAAACCCCTTCTCATAGGCCTATAATATTTTACAATGTTTGGTTTGACTATCAACTCTATCACCATGCAAAGTTTCATCAAAATACCAGGCGAGTAAACCTGAGGGGTCCCTTGTCAGATAATTATTGCAAATTTCAATTTACATCGATATTGCTGAACTAGACAGTCAATTTGAAAGTGATGTCCTGACCAATTTTTGAATATACTTTGGAGATGGAAGATGACTTCAGAAAATGATTGGATAGATTGAATAGGAAGAAATAAAACTTATGTATGGAGAGGAATTGATTTTTAAAATAATTTATTAGATGCCAATTACCATAAAATTGTAGAACTATTTATGTCATGCAAGGAAAAAAATATTTACAAACAATACAGTGAGAATGTTTTTTTTTTTGAATCTCATCAAAAAAAAAATAATTAGTGAAGATAAATATTTGTATGATTATGAAACTGGAATGCATATTTTTATCAGTTTGGACTTCTGCTTCCTGGCTAGAGTGTATTAAGTAAATAACCCAATATTAACTTTTTAATCTTTTTAATAAAATTTGAAAATTTTTCAACGATTTGAAAATTTACCTGAAGACAGTCTTACTTGTTTAATATGAATCTTATTAGTATTTACAAAAAATCATCACATAGAATCAGCATTTCATGAATCAACCAAATGGATTCAGTTATTTTTTTTCTAAAGCCATACTCAACCATGAACAATATCTCAAAATTCATTTACAGATACTTTCACATTTATCACACATACGTGAAATCAATTTTTTAAGTAAGAGATCAGAATACTTCAAGGAACTTAGTTAACCTTATAAATTTATTTGCACATTTAATAACAAGTAAGAAACCCAAAAGGCCTCACTTTGTTCTTACTTGGAATTTTTATCTTCCTTCAGGTTGTAATGGCCACAAATAGAATTGAAACATTAGATCCAGCTTTAATCCGTCCAGGAAGAATTGATAGAAAAATCGAATTTCCTCTTCCCGATGAGAAAACTAAACGCCGAATCTTTAACATTCACACATCTAGAATGACCTTAGCCGAAGATGTTAATTTAGCCGAATTGATCATGGCCAAAGATGATTTATCAGGTGCGGATATTAAAGCAATTTGTACAGAAGCTGGTCTGATGGCATTAAGAGAACGTAGAATGAAAGTTACAAATGAGGATTTCAAAAAGAGTAAAGAGAGTGTATTGTATCGCAAAAAGGAGGGAACTCCAGAAGGTTTATATCTTTAATTAAAAATATTTAATACAGACACATGAGAGGCATTTTGAATATTTTGTGTGTATGATTCTCTCTTACATGTATAATTTTTGTATGAATAAATTGATTTTAATACACTTTTTGATTTGTTTATAATATTTCTTGAAATCATTTTAAATATCTTAATTTAAAATTTTCTATTTTACGAAAATCTTAAAAAATGATGAATAGATATCAGAGATTTCAAATGTGTTCTAGAACTGACGCCTCATTAACAATATGCGAATTATTTAGACAAACACCCTAACTGATAGGAAAGAAACAGATCTTGAAAAAAATCATGAAATTTGATAAACTTCAAATAGTAAATGATTTTTTACATTTGAATTTTACAATTGAGCGCTTATAACAAAATTTTTATCTGATTTTATAGGAGGAAAAAAACGTGAAATTAAATCATTTTCTTTATTTGTATTGTTAATAATAATCAAGCAATAGAATTTTATCGTCCCACATTTAATGCACCATTACCATTATAATATTAATAAAAATAACATTTTCATAAGAAGTAAAACATATTTGTGTTAATTATTATTAATTGTAATATATATTACTAAATTAATTCCTTATAAGATAAAAGCATATATTTTGATGCATAATTTAAATTAAGTATTTGTAATGCCTATATCATCTACTTATTTTGAAATTTCTGCTTTTGCTTTAATGCAAGTATTACCATTGTCATGTTTTATATCAACATCAACTTCAATCTTGCCTTTCACTAGTCCGAGGTAGGTTTTGTATTTGCTAATATCAATTTTTTTGTCATCCAGACACAATTTATACTGAAAAATAAAAAAATAGTATTTTAATTTTGTGCAAATTCATTATAGAATAATTTAGTTTATCATCAACTGATTATTTTAAATTCTTGTGTTTAATATTCTTGAAACAATAACTTTCGAAATGGGGTGCTGGAGTCAAGTGAAGAAGTTAAGTGGACCGATAAGGTAACAAAGCTGAGGATGGTGAGAGACGAAACAACTCTACTGGGCACGATAATGCAGAGAAGAGGAAACACGACATCGTCGAAGGAAAAACAGAAAGACTGAAATGTTCAGAAAGAAGAAGAATGCAGATGATGACTTACATGTGAAGATAAAATACAGGGAACTGAAAATCGAAGCACAGGACCAGGAGCATGGGAGATTTGGTAAGAAAAATGCATAAAAGTGTATAAAAACGGGAATAATGATAATGAATTAGAATTGGTAATAATAATCAAGGGAGGGAAAGGAAATCGTTGATTTATGGTGCTCTCACATCATTGCCTTCGGGCAGACAACCATTCGATATGTGTGTATGTCTTTATATTGAAATCAAATTAACTAACAAGAAGCTCATTAAAAGCTATTAATTCTATATGAAAACACATCATGGAATATTAAAAAAAATCTTGTTATTTACATATTTCATTTGAAATCATTATAAAATATTACATATTTTAATTATGTATGAATAAATTTTGTATTTGATTGATTAAAATGATACTGAAAAATAATGACAAAAAAATTCCAATAGTCATCACTTTAATTCATACATGTGATTATAGTGGAGTTTTCTATGAGAAATAATTAAAATTCGATTTCGAGCTTAATCACAAACATTAGTCGCAATTTTTATATGGTAATTATATGTAATATTCCATTAGATTATCAAGGATGTGTAATTATCTCATTGTGTGTATATATCTCACCAAAGGACAGCAATTATTGACAATGATTTTTGCATATAAACTAAATTTCTGATTTGTTGATGAAACAGCAAAGAAAATATTCATTAGTTGATTCTTATTTATGAAAGAGCATGATACAAAGTATCGTGATTTTTTTTCAACTACATGCAAAATTATCAATCATTAATGAGAATATATAATAATAATTTAATTTGGTACACTTTCTAAAGTAAAAAGTTTAAATTCTTTTCGCCATCAATAAACTTGATTACTTTTAATTTGTAATCTTACCTTTTCCGCCGGACATTCGTGAGGAAATCCTATGATATCTAATATTGCTGCTTCTTTGGATCCTGCGCTGACCTTTCTGCACATATTTTCCGTTCCCTCTAATAATGGCATACCATTTTTACTGACTTTATATGTCACCTGAAATATTAATTAGCAATAAACATACAGAATTCATGGGTTGAATCTCAAATTCAAATAAATATATAAAAAATAAGAATGTTTCGACATCAATTTATGTCCAGTGGCTTATTCTAATGACTCTTAGATTAGGTACGAAATGAATAATATATCGTACCTGTTAGAGTAACTTATTTAAATATAGTATAAATATTAATAAATTGATTATTGTATACGATCGAATTATTCTCGATCTCGGCCTACAGTCGACCTATTCTCGACCGACACTATGCTCATTTGGTTGACCCGAGTTCGCACCAGGGTTCAAACGGGCGCGAAAAATTTATCTGCCACATTTTCAAGAAAATTTACTACTAATTGGTTTCAAAAACAATTTGACTCGGGCGAACAGAAGAAACTTTCCCTCTTCAAATTTGCGAAAATCCTAAAAAATTAGATAGTTTTTAAAAATTAACTAGTAGGGTGTATGGCATCGTGCCTTGAGGCAAATTGCTGAAACTTGCCGTACCGTAAAATGTTCGAGGAATACTGAATGTTTTCAAATAGATTATTATTAATATTGTAACATTGTCTAATATTCATAAGAATTATATAAACTGAATTGCAAAGTTGAAATTATTTGTTTAAAGTATATTGGAACTATAGTCAGAATTAAAAATATAATCTGAATTATTTTCGATATACTAAATTTTTTTTTTTTGAAAAAAAAATGAAAAAAAAGTAGAAACAAAAATTCCAAAATCAATTATTTTGTTAAGACAAGCAGAAAGTTCTTTGAATCATCTAAATCGGACGCTTAGTTCTCTCAAAAACTGCCATTTTTTGCACATTTAGCTCCGTATCTTCGAAATGGCTGGGCCTGCGTTTGCCAAAAACTAATAAACACTTCTCCCAATCATTACTAATTGAATGTTTTTTAGATCATTCAAATCGGATGCTCCGTTCTCTCAAAAGCTCGATTTCTATTTTCTGCACTCTTTGCTCTTTATCTCCGTAACTGCTGGACCTGCCTTTACCAAAAACTAATCAGCACATCTCCTTATCAATAGGAATCGAATGTTTTTTGAACCATCCAAATCGGTTGATCCGTACGCCCGAAAACGGGACTGGAAAATTGTATCCATACATACACACACACACACATCCATTTTTTCTGAGGTATGCCAAAATGTTCAGAAACCTTCAAAACGTCGAGAAATGTAAAAATTTTCAATTTCGATTTTCGGCCCATTACAATAACTTACCCTACGGGAAGTTAAAAAAAGGTTTTTTTGAATATTCAGATGATCTTATCTGTAAAAAATCAAGTTTTTTGAGAATTTAAAAAAAATAAAATTTTTATGTGGTTTAAATGAATTATCATTTGCGGCAAATTAAAAAAAAATGCATACCCTGAACTCTGAACCGCGTAAAAAGCAGATTTTTAATAGCAATATCAGTATAATTAGATAGTTTAGTGGTTATGAAATAAAAAAATACCTACTACTCGACATGTTTTAGATCACCTAAAATTAACAAAATCGAACTTATGGTGATTTTTTTCTTTCTTTTAGGGAATTAATAGTTTGATAAGTAGTTGCACATAGGTATATATCACATACTTATTTTTAACAGTATTTTTTTTCCTCAAAATATGTACGTTTTTTCCTTAAAATTTCAGAAATCACGTTACGTGAACCAGAATTCATTAATTTAATTAATTCATTATATAATTATATATAGGAATCTAATCGAATATTTAAGATAATTAAAGTCTCTCGAGAACGTGTATATATATATATATATATATATATGTGTGTGTGTGTGTGCGTAACAGATCTTGACTTTTACATACTACACAAATCTAAACATGTTTGAAATATGCCAAATAATGATAGGAAAAAGCAAGTTTAATTAACTTCCCGAAGGAGAAGTTTATGTTTTCATCAAAAAATCCGATTCGCTAATTTTATGTTTTCTCGACGTTTCAAGCCATTCTAAATCGAATGAGACCAAATTTGAAAAAAAAAGTGTGAGTATATATATATATATATGTTGTGTGTATGTGAACAGATTTTGTGCCGTAAATCGACGTTTTCTCGAAAACGGCTGGAGCGATTGCAAAAAATTAAAAGCCATTCGATGTATCTCGATGACTATCGTTTGTGGTTTGTGCGCTACGAACGGCCGAGCCGTTTTTTTTTTTGTAAATCGCAGAAAAGTGAAAAATTTTTCGCCCACGTTTTAGCCCGCAATTCTGAATCGATTATGAAAATTCAAAAACAGTTCGAAAGATATTGGTTGGGAATCGTGCTGATTAGTTTTTGGTAGAGATCGGCCGGGCCGTTTTCTTGTAATAAAGTGTTAAACAATTTTTTTCGACGATTTTTATTATATTATTATTATTTTTTTGACGATTGTTAACTCGTTTAACTTTAAAAATTCGTCAAAGTTTGAAAAAATTGGTTTCGTTTTTTTGGCATATGTCAAAATTAGACCTTTATCAACGTTTTCTCAAAAACGTCTGAACCGATTTCAGAAATTTATAAGCCATTTCTATCTATCGTTTGTCAGTTTTGTGCGATCATCTGCCAAGCCGTTTCTTTGTAATTTGAAAAAAAGTGTTAAACATTTCGTCCACATTTAAGCTCATCCTACCGAACCGATTTTAAAAAATCAAAAACTGTTCGAAAGATATTAGTTGGGAATGATACTGATTAGTTTTAGGTGAAATACTACCGAGCCGTTTTCTTGTAATTAACTGTTGAAAAAAAATTTAAACCGATTTTTATGGAACTTTTTTTGGCGATATACATCATGGTCTTATAGAACTTACTGAAATATTACGGCCTTACGACATATAGTTTAATTTTAAAAATTCATCAAAGTTTGATAAAATAGTTTTTTTGACGTTTGTTCAAATTAAAATTATACGATTTACTTTTGGTATAATGATGGAGTACTTGGTCTTAATGAACATACTAAACCATTAAAGTCCTACGGAAACTGGTTCAATCATAAAAATTGTAGATTTTTGAAAATTTGCTTTTAGAAAATATTCCGAGTTAACGTGTTCGTTCGTTTTCATACTTTAATCACTCATAAATTAATTTATTTTTCATTGATTAAGTCGATTATTTACACATATCGGGAGTTCATGCAACTTGCTTTAAGGCAAAATACCAATAAAAACTAGTTTTACTAATTTACGCTACATAAAGTTAATATGAATATAGGCAATGATTTAAAATAAACTCAGAAAATTAATAGACCTTTCCAATTCCCAGAAAAGTTTAAAATATCTATTTTTTGTCATCAGAATGAATTTATAGGTTTTTTACCTTTCCATTTTTAATACCATCAGTCTCGATACAGCCGCGCGGTTTAACGATGCATTTATCAGTAATATCGGCGCCAATATTATCCAAGCGAATAACATTGTCGGTTGATCCTGGACAGTTTGCAATTGATTTCACTTTTATCGTGACTCCAGCCTATAAATTAAGTGATTTTAATTATTTTTATTTATATAAAACTACCTTAACATAAAATAATACATACACATGATTCTCCTAAATCAATAAAAGCTGCTGCTAGGAAAAGAGCGATACAAATAATGTGTTGAATAAACATTTTTTTAGATTTTATTTAGACAAATAATATATTTTTATTTCGAATAAATTATTACCATTGTTACAGTTATCTTATATACCTCGTTTTATCTTTTCAATAAATCATAATTTGCAGGATGTAAAATAAACAATCATCGCGGATATTTCGATGACTTTCGTAATATGAATGTTGCATAGTATATTTCAATGTAAAATATATTATCCGACAATGAAAAAATAATTACAAACGATTATGTTATTTTCTAAATGTTACCCGTAAACAAGGATTATTTGTTTAGAGGTCATCTTAATCACAAAGTTCAAAGAAATAATTTATATTATATAATTTGTAAAAAATATATACCGCTGTCTCCGGGCTGGACGAGGCAGTTCAAGAAAAAAAGAAAACTTATGAATTTGTGAATTGCGAGAGAAATGCTGCACCGATTCAAATGTTGCATTGGAATATATTATTCTGAATTTATCGCAATCATTTTACAATTTAGTAATTAATTAATTATAGTAATGTCAGTATATATTCTGATGAAGCTTAAATATAGAAAAGCGACAAAGTTAGCCAGGCTTGCACATTTTTTTTTAACCTATGGTTTCTCATTTGCTAAATATTTGCTTAAAGACTTTAGAATTTTAACCGCTATTTTTATATTAAGTCGTTCAACTCGAAAAATATTGAAAAACGATACATAACATTTCTATAATGGCTTTCAAACTCCTGGGTGCTCCTAGTGTGACCGAGTCCTCCTAGGTGCCGGACTTTCGAAAACTCCGGACTGTCGGGCGGTTAGGTGAAAAACAATATTTGGCAAAAACGGTTATTCTGTCTTTTTTTTTTTAAATAAATTAGCTGTTTTTCTTCTCTCCCAGTTACCGGAGTTGTAATACTATGTAGGTATTATAGCTGGACTTTTTTGTAAATTAAATATTTATAAGCGATATGTCAATATAAGGGATGTCATCATATCCGACTGTTTTATCAGAAAATGTATATGATAAACCAATTTTCGTAGTATGATTATACACCGTCATATAAGTGGTCGGTCAATATATCTGACGTCATACTAATTATAGTAGCTTAAGCGAATTCTAAAAGTGATATCCTAAAATTTTAATGAACATAAAAGATGATATAATCTAATTTAATTAATTTGTATTGATATAATCTAATGTAATTATATTGAGCTTGTATACTAAACTAACTTATCGGTTTTCACTCATAAAATTGTATATTGCAATTAACTTCCCGATGAGAAGTTAGTTTTTGCCAGAAAAAAGGATTTGCTCGGCGTTTTAAGTCATTCTAAATCAAATGAGACCAAATTTAGAAAAGGGATGTATGTGTCTGTGAGAGCTGATTTTTGACCTCGCCGACGTTTTCTCAAAAACAGCTCGACCGATTTTAAAAATTTGAAAGCTATTAGATAAAACTATCGATAAGGACTGTCCGAGCCATTTCTTTATAACAAGCAGCAAGCATTTTAGACCATATCAGTTTCGAAAGGATTTTGAAAATTGGAGAGATATCTCTCCAAATACATCACACACGTTTTGTATGTCCGCATTTTTTTTGTTCACGTTTTCGGGCGCACGGATCAACCGATTTGAATGGTTCAAAAAACATTCGATTCCTATTGATAGAAAGTTGTGCTGATTAGTTTATGGCAAAGGGAGGTCCAGCCGTTTCGAAGATACGGAGCTATATGTACAAAAATAGCAGTTTGTGAGAGAACTATGTAAGCATTCGATTTGAATGATCTAGAAAACATTCAATTCGTAATGATGGGGAGAAGTAGTGATTAGTTTTTGGCAAAGGCAGGTCCAGCCGTTTCGAAGATACGGAGCTAAATGTACAAAAATGGCAATTTTAGAGAGAACTAAGCACCCGATTTGAATGATCTAATTCGTAATGACGGGGAGAAGTAGTGATTAGTTTTTGGCAAAAGCAGGTATAGGTCGAAGATACGCAGCTAAATGTAAAAAAATGGCAGTTTTTGAGAGAACTAAGCGTCCGATTTGAATGAGAAACTAGCTGTAAGTGGAATTCTGTCTTAAGGGAATTAAGGCATCGTGCCTGAAAGCAAATTTCTGGAACTTCCCGTACCAATTTTTTTTTTTTAAAACGATTAACATTTTTGAAAAAAAATTTACTTCGAAAAAATAAGATTTTTGAGAAACTATAAATTGGACCAAAAATTACTTTTTTTTGAAAAAAAAAATTTTTTTTTTAAAAAAATTTTTTTTTTAATTTTTTTTTTTCGAAAAAAAAATGTTTTCTTTATTTTGACATATTTTGGAAGATCTAAACTTTTTTTCAAAGCAATCGTACTGCTTTAACTGCATAAAGACGAAATATCAAAGCGCGTAAGCGCCGCGTCGCCGTCTAACGCGTAAACATTGGTACGGAACCCATAGGAATGTAAACAAAATATATACTTATTGTTAAAATCTCTATAAAATATTTGATAATTTGATGTGCATTAGTCTAATGATCATTTTTGACCGCCAAATGGCATTTTTTTTTACTTTTTTCTTTAGATCTCCGAAACCGCTAGACCTGCCTTTATGAAAATTTGATCGGTTCTTCACCTTGTCAATATAAGTAAAATGTTTTTTGAATTATTAAAATCGGACGCTCCGTTCTCTTAAAAACTGAGTTACCGTTTTCGGCACTTTTTGCCCCGTATCTTCGGAACGGCTAGACCTGCCTTCGCCAAAAACTAATCAGCACGTCTCCTTATCAATACGAATCGAATGTTTTTTGAATTATTCAAATCGGTTGATCCGTGTTCCCGAAATCGTCGACGAAAATTTGTATCCGCACATACATACACACACGTACATACATACATATACACACACATACACACACACACACACACACACATACATCCATTTTTTCTAAGGTATGCCAAAATGTTCAGAAACCTTTGAAACGTAAAGATATATAAAAATTTTCATTTTCGATTTTTTTGCGATTACTATAACTTACCCTACGGGAAGTTAAAAAACTTTCTGCTTATGTTGACGAAACAATTGCTTTTGGAAAAAAAATTGTATTTATTTTTTTTTAATTTTTTTTTATATACTTATTGAAAATAATTCAGATTTTAATTTTAATTCTTCTTAAAGTTCTAAAGCTCACTTATATACTTTAAATAAACAATTTTAACTTTGCAATTCAGTTTATATAATTCCTATAATTATTAAACAATGTTACAGTATTTATTTATAATAATCTATTTGAAAACGTTTAATATATTCTTTGAACATTTCGTTACGGTACGGGAAGTTTCAGCAATTTGCCTTAAGGCACGATGCCATACACCACTAGTTTCTTTTATAAATCAAAGGACTTATAATTATCTGTTCAGGTTTGTGATGCTTTATTGTTAGCAAAAATAGTTATTTTTATAATAACTATGTTAATTATATTGTTATTGAATGACTGTGTGTTTTCATAATTTAAAATTCGCGCTTTGTAATTCGATTAAAGAGGGCAACACTAATGGCACATATCGGCATTGACAATACCTATAAAAACAACAACAATTTTGACAAGTTATTGAAAAGCATGAATGCTCATTTGTAATTTCACTTGAACTTTCTTCTTATATTAAATTTATTGCATACATTGATTCAATATAATTTTAAATGGGAAGTTTAGATGAAGCATCTAAAACTGGCTTTTTATGCAGATTATGTTCCGAAATGCACAAACATGTTATTCTTATCTACAGCGATAAGGGTATTTCCATGCAGCTAGCACACAAAATCAATAACAATCTTCCAGTGACCGTAAGACATATCGAATATATTATTTTTAATGAAAGCAGTTAAATTTAACTTATAATATTTTATTCAGATATCTCCGACAGATCCTTTGCCCAAAACAATTTGTTTATCTTGTATTCAACAATTGGAAGCGACATGCAAACTGATAACTCAGTTGCAAACAGTAAGACAATTATTAGGAATGAAAAAGCAAGTTAAGCCAGAAAATGAACGTTGTGAAACAGTACATTATTTAAATAATGCAGCTTTGGATTCATCAGATGAAGATTCTGATGCCAGTGAAGCATAGCATTAAAAATGATATATCGATTTAAGTATTAACAAAGAAAACAATTGGATTAATTAAATAAACAACTCGCCAATTTAGTGATAAGTTTAAACTGATATTATATGTGAATAATTAAATTATATATGTTAAATAATTTCAATAGTTTTATTCATCATGAGAGATTTAGTGTGAAAGCTATGATGTTTATGCCAATATGTCCTAACATGGCATAATGAAATTCTTCAGAGAAACATTTTATTAAATCATTTATTTCAGAATATTTTCATAATTTGTAACATGAATTATAATACAATTTGCAACCTCCATACATCAGCATAAAATTAGTTAATGCTGTATTAATTCTATTAAGATTATATCTTATATGATATAGTAATGAAAAATAATATGGACTTAATTTTACGATAACACTAAAACATATGCAATTGTATCTCAATAACATATGAAATTAGATGACTATTTTTATTTTGCATATATCAAACAAATACATATAAACATTTTTCCTTTACTATATGACTTGCATATATATATAATTTATTTAAATTTACAACATAATATAATATAATAACTTAGTTATATATTTATGTAAGTGGAATGAAAACATGTCATGAGTATTTACATAATTATTCTAAAGAGTTCAGCATAAGCAACTGCTTCAGAACTTTTGTTTGAGACGTTTCTCGAATCTCTCCTGCCAAAAACATTTCATCTACTACAGTGTAGACTTTATAGAAATTGAACACCAAATCTAATTCACATACATTGTGAAAATATTCATTCAATACTTCAACAAAATTATGGATTGCTTCTAGGTAACACAAGTTGTTGTCATTGACATCAACACAAATACAGAAGTATAATCCCGCATATCTTCTGTACACAATTTTGAAATTGCGAAACTGAAATAAATAATAAAAATATTCAATGAATAAAAAAAGCAAGAATTATGTATAAATCAAACAGTCTACATTAAAACATTCTTGCTATTGTGATTATAATTTAAGTTACTCTAAATGGTATTATTATTCGGCATTATTACTCTGCCATAATGATTTCTAAAGAAACAAATATCATTGATTTTTTCATTTCATTTCATTGGATAACAATTTCGGAATAGAAACAAATTGTTGCAGACATTCTACATAAAAGTTGTTTATAATAATAACACCTTACTGAATAACAATTGTAAAATTAAATTTAGCTAGCTTGGATTCACAGTACTCTCAAGATCATTTACTAAAACACAAGGAAAAAAGTGCTTGAAAAAGCTTTAACATTGAATTAAATTAAATTGTAAATAGTTGAAAACAAAAATGTTGGAAATTAAAAGCTAAAAGTATACATCTTATCTTAATACCTCAACAAAATTTGTATGTTTGGCATCTCTAACAGTTACAACTGCATGGACTTCCTCTATTAGTTTTTGTTTTTCATCATCGTCGAAATTCATATACCATTTTGCTAATCTAGTTTTACCAGCACGATTTTGTATTAATATGAAACGAATCTAAAAACAAACAGAAATTAAAATATTGATATCTGACTTTTAGGGCGTTTCAGACTTATCATTTTAATCATTTATGGATTGTATTTAGTAATACACATAATAAAATGAATTATTTAAGTTTAATTTTGAATTTACCATTTTCAGTTTATGCAGATATTAATAAAAGCTTATATTACACAAATATTATTGTAGGAATAATAAAATACTAATGACAGCTTGAGAGTTCAATGAGATTCCAATCGAATTCCACTTGCGATATTTACGCAGTTTTCTTTGTTGGTACTCGTGTTAATGTAAACTCTGGTGGAAGATTTGCTCAAAATATTTTTACAAATTGGTTTAACATACATAATCCAACAAAAACTTAATTTATTAAGGTGCGTCCACACCTAACGAACGAACACGAACGAACATGTCGAACAAGAAAATACAAAATAGAACGAACAGGAACACGAACGAACGCGAAAAATTCCAAACAAACGCCTCAAAGCAGTGAGGGTTTGAATCTTTTTGTTCGAGGATGTACCGTGAAACGTCAGATTTATTATTTAAAGTGGCGGGAAAGAGAAAAATTATTTAAAGTCATCAAATTTACAAAATTTGTCAATAACAGCAATATCTTATAATAAATACAACATAAATTAATGCATTAATGCACATTTTAACACCAAAAAAGAAAAATGTTTGTCTACATTCGTGGTAGCGTCCACACTGCACATACGAGTTCAAACATGAACGAACAATTCCCTTTGATGTACCGACAAGTTGCGGAACATTGCTCGCCATGTTTGTTTATGTTCGTTCGTGATCGTTGTGGCGTCCACACTATGCTGTTGCCGTTCGTTCTGGTACGTTCTTTTATGTTCGTTCGTGTTCGTTCGTTAGGTGTGGACGCACCTTTATATATTGGTAGATTTTAGAACATTGCTGCACTGCCATTTGTGTTTGATTATCTATTGATTATCTATGTGCACTGCATAAAATTAAAAGATATTAGAAGAACTGCATAAAAATTAAAATATTAAAAGAACAAACTATATTCAATATTGGATGATGGCAGCATATTTACGTATATGGTGTATACAAGTATGTATCTAATCTATGTATTTATGTATATATTTGTTTTGTTTTTATACTCATCCATTAAAGGTTGTTCATATCACAGATTCTTTTATCAGTATAATATTTTGTACTAAATTTTACAGTTATGTTGTCATTTAATGCGTTTGAATTATTTTAAGTCTTTATATTTTATATGCATTTGGATAATGTACTTGATTATGTGGGCAATATACTAATAATAATGAGAAAACACATACGTAATGTTGGAAACCTTTAACCAACTTTAATTAATAATTATACTTTATTATTTAAACCTACATGTTATTGTATTCGTCTCAAAATTAAAAATAATAAATATTTTTGCATATGAATTCATCCATAATTAAATGGCATACTAATTGTATAACTAACGCTGACTAACACAATACATTTTATTTATTAATTTCCCGTAGAGTAGATATAGTAATGGGCGTTTCTGAACACATTGGCATATCTCAGAAAAAATTGATGTATGTGTGTGTGTGTTTTGTGTATCCGCCGTCCACAACTTTGGACGCACGGATCAACCGATTTGAATGGTTCAAAAAACATTCGATTCCTATTGATAGGGATATGTGCCCATTAGTTTTTGGCAAAGGCAGGTGCAGCCATTTCGAAGATACAGAGCTAAATGTATCTAAATGGCAGTTTTTAAGAGGACCAAGTGTCCAATTTGAATGATTCAAAAAACTTTCTGCTTGTTTTAACAAAATAATTGCTTTGGAAAAAAGTTATTGTTTAAATTTTTTTCAATTTTTTTTTATATCGAAAATAATTCAAATTTTAATTTTAATTCTGACTATAGTTCTAAGCTCTCTTACTTTAAACAAATAATTTGAACTTTGAAAGCAGTTTATATAATTTTTTATCTATAATAATCTATTTGAAAACATTTAATATTCCTCGAACATTTCGTTACGGTACGGGAAGTTTATCACCAGTTTAAATTCTTTTATTTCGTGTTCGTTGGCTTACGATTGCTTACCAATGGCTTACTATCTGCTTGTACCCAACCCTTGTATAGACGTCTCTCTTTACGTTCTACAGGTTGGTGAAGTTGCTCATTTGACAATTAGGTGGAATTCAAATTTACCGTTCAAAAACCTCTCATAAACCATTGCCAAAAGTTGAGCAAAATGTGTGAGGGAAAACCTATTTATAGAACCAGTTGATTATTAATATTCAAAATGAATCCTGTTTTTTGACATTTCTCGAGATAGTTCACTTCCGATGACTTCCAATTTGCAAAATTAAAAAAATACCGTCATGTCAAATAAATGAACATCAAGTTCAGGGTTAAAATTTTTGGATTTTTAAATTCAATCTAAATTAGTAATGTTTATTAATTTATATTATTGAGCTGGTTAAATTAAAAATTTCCGTAGTAGTTTCAAGTGATTAACAAGAAATTAATAATTTAAAATCAAAATGTGTGATGATGATGACGAAGAGGTTATAACTCAAGTGAGATCTTTTGTTTTCTTGGTGATATTATATATTATTTAATCATTTGCAAATATAATTTTGATTATAGGGCGGAGTGCTGCACCAACATTTATTAGCAAACGGATTATGTGATTTTGAAGTCAATAATAAATCACGACAAGAACAGCTCAATCTTCATGTTAAAAAAGTTGAATCCAAATATAAGTCGATGCCCTTCTTCAATATGTTTATTCCTTACAAAGTCAGTACAAATATTGTTTAATTTTTTTTATATAAATATGTTAAGAATGTTTTTATTGGTTGTATATGTATAATGTATAAATATTATTAATTCAAAAGTTTTGTAATGAAGTTCTAGTTTTAGATTAAACATTTATTAATTAACAAAAATTTGTTTAATGAACAGAATAATATTAAAATAGTAATTGCTTTATCATTACAGAAGTGCAATATGTCTCTTATACAAGAAATTAGGAACTGCCATTTATTACTAGAAGAAGATGCTTTATATTTAGAATCAATATGTCCGACAGTTCAGGAAGAACCTGCTGGCATTGGAAAAGCAGCTGGCATTGGTGTTGCTGTTGCTTGGCCTATGATGTTACTATGTCATACTCCATGGTAGTTATAATGAATTTCATTACTTTTATCAAATTTCTATAATTCAATAATTGAAATTCTTATTTCTAATATCGAGAATAGCTTGAATAAAAATAATTGTTTTAAGCCCTTTGTAATCTAATTGTATCATTTAGTGAACTTGACTAAAGAGTTTGGTTTTTAATAATATTATATTTATTATACAAATAGTGGTTTTTTTTTATTTTTCATTTTAATTTTTATTGCTTATCAACTTGATTGTGTAAATATAGATTTAATTAGTATAATTCTACTTTGCAGTAAGAAGGTTTTAGCAATGACCATTGCCGGGCTAGGGCTTTTATCAATTCGACAACTGATTGGAGCTTTTCGACAAAAATTTGATCAAAGGTTGATGTGTAGTCTAGTCAGAGCA